ACAAACCTAGGAGTTTTGTGAGTCACGCATCACAAGTTGCAGTCCGTAGTGTAGTGCAGGTTCGCAAGGCCAGCTGCATCAGAAATCCATCCGCTCATCCTGTTTACAGCATTACAAATTCCAAAACACGATTGAAAATGGTTCTCATGCGGATGCGCATTACAAGTCTTCCTGTCTTTGCAAATCTGCATTACAACTCTGGTGTGGGTACGTTTTTCCTCAGGATAACAACCTCGACTTCGTCACAGCGGACCAACTATCCCAGAGAAAAAAGCAGGCAGGGCATATTTGTATTGCAAAAATAAATACACAGAAAAATCTGTCATGGGAGGCCCCATAGCATGCTGTTCAGGATATGCAATACAGATTTTTTTGTGTATTTATTTTTGCATTACAAATGTGACCTACCTGCTTTTTTTTCTGTGATACCAACTATCAAGGGCAAGTATCCCTGGACGTCTGGAAGATTGCCGGGTTTGTCATGCAGGTTTTGCATGACCTATGATCGATCTGTGATGCATGCCCTAGCATCACAGATGTAGTTTTCAGCTGTTTTTGATGCCTGCAGTGCATGACAAATGCTCTCTCCGCGTACTAGTCAAAACCAACTGGTAGCTCCTCTTGCTGGTCATGCAATACAGATTATAATTTTGAAAAGAACCAAATGCAGCTGCGTCACAAGTTCTTGCCATGTTCCAGACCCAGATCGATATTTGCAATGCATACCAGCTTTCTGCTTCCGTTCGCTTCCTGCTTCGCCTCTGTGCAAAGCTGGAGGAGGAGCTGGGGGCGGAAGAAGGTCCAGCGCCCCCTGCTACTGCTGCTGCTGCTGCTGCGGATATCCCACGAAAAAACTGTTTCACTGTGATGATCTTGCAAGATCTGCATCACAAGTTTGTTACACATGACACAGAAAATTTGCCATGCGCGCTTCCAAAGGGAAAACACCGCTAAAGAGTCGAGGTCTTGCGGGTGTGGCAAGACAAATAGTTCTGTGTTCCATTCTATGCATCACAAGTTTACAGTGAAGCAGTTTTTTCTTGCGATAGAAGCAAAAAAAGAAGGTAGTGTGGCAGCAGGTAGTCAAGAAGATCCTCTTCACGACCTGCAGCCGGGCGCCAGCGGCACGACAGAGCAGACGACGACACAAGTACTGGAACTGGGTCCCGACTCGAGACTTCTGTGCCTCTACCCTTTCGGCGAGGCTAAGCTGGACAAGCGAAAAATGCACGCGTCTATCATGTATCAAATGGAAAAATGTCTGGGTCTGGAAGATTGCTATGTTTGTCATGCATATTTTCCATGCCCCATGAGGTCTGGAATGCAGGACGGGACCTAGCGTGACAGATCCCGCGAAGTGGTCTCCATCATGCCGATCCTGCATGAGAAAGAACTCCCGCTCATGTTGGTCAAAAAAGAACAACTTTTGGTGATCACGCAGCCCAGATTTTTGTGTGATCCACAGGACGCATCACAAGTTCCATCCTCACAGACCCAGACACTTTTGCATTTGATATCATGACAGGCGAGCAGCGAAGCGGGCGCACGGACGCGATCCTGTGGCTTTTGTGTCATGCGGACGGGAAGACCACTCTCCGCGAACTCGCTACCGCAAGAAAAAACTGTACAGCTGTGAACTTGTGATGCATAGAATGGAACGCAAATGTGTTTGTCTTGCTACACATGCAAGACATTAGATTTTTAGCTGTGTTTTCCCTTAGATAGGATGCACGCATGCCAAGTTTTCTTTGTCATGTGTAACAAACTTGTGATGCAGATATTGCAAAATCGTCACAGTGAAACAGTTTTTTCGTGGGATACTCGCCGACCGTGCCGCCGACTACCAGAAAAAAGTTTTGCACCGAGTCGCGCGGGACGTTTTTCGTTTCGGGGCCCCTTCTATCCGATACGAAAAAAGTGTTTCCCTGTAAGGATTTATTTGCAGGTTTTGCATATTAGAAATTTGTTTTCTACATGACAGAGAAAATTTGCCATCAAGGTTTTCATATTTATAGGGGAAAACACAGCTAAAGCTCCAATGTGCTATGCATGTGTACTGCAAGACAAACACTTGTGCGATACATTTTCTGCATTACAAGTTTGATACAGTGAAACAGTTTTTTCTGGCGATACCTTCCCTGGAGGATTTAGTGCACTTCGCACGTGATCTCATCGCGTCTAACATGCTTCTGCGAGTATGAGAGTGCACAACTCCCCTCCCCCTCCTATCCCTTCTCACTGTCACGAGACGTTGAACAAGTTGATCATATATCGATTTTAAAATGATCGCCTAGAAGTTGGTGGGTCTTGAATAAATTAAACTGTTGTAATAAAAGCCATTCTACTTACACAACCCAGTAGACCATGAGCTTGCGGTCATTCAAGGACTTGCTTCTTGCGCCGGCGGAGCTGGTTGAATAGGATGTTGTGCGAGATTAAAATAAAAGCAAAGCGGCGACGTGCGTCAGACCGTATTAAGTAACAAGTGCCCTGGCTGTACTAGCCGTAAGAAGTAAGCGTGTTCCGGCTTTTCTCGCCTCCTGCGATTTCATGGTTGAATGTTCCACCTTGTTGTGCGGACTTTTGTTCTGACTCCTTTTAATTATCGCAATCAACTGCCAATATCCCTGGAAGTCGGGAAGATTTTGCAAGCCAGATTTTTTCATGCCACAGAAGATGAACTGGTAAAAGCATATCTTATAAAAATTTCTGGAGATGGAATTTATTGATAAATCGCAAGTACAGTTTACTACTACGGCGGGTAGAAGTTTGATATCCTGAGTAAAAACGTACCCACACAAGAGTCAGGATGGGGATTTTGCAGCACAAACCTAGGAGTTTTGTGAGTCACGCATGACAAAGTGCACTATGCAGTGTAGTGCAGGTTAGCAAGTGCAGCCGCATCACAGATTCATCTGCTCATCCTGTTCACAGCATCACAAATTCCAAAACACGACTGGCAATGGCTCTCATGGGGATGCGCATTACAAGTCTTCCTGTCTTTGCAAATCTGCATTACAACTCTGGCGTGGGTACGTTTTTACTCAGGATATTTGATGTTTTATCATCAGTAGACCATCAGACTCTTCGAAGAATCGATTCAAGTAGGGGATAAAAATGGGTATGGAAAGCTATGCATTGCAAAAGTATCGTACTCGTATAAATGCGTGACAAATTTCCTCAGCATGAGAAACAAAATTTGTAATGCGGATTTATCTTAAGAAAAAGATTTGTAATGCATGACTGCAATTACCACGAGTTGTGCGATACTTTTGCACAGGACAAAAGCGAGTGGGTAGCGATTTGGGACCGCAAGGGTCGCGAGCGCATATGTATTGCAAAAGTATCCCATACTCGTATAAATGCATTACAAATTTCCTCAGCATGAGACATAAAATTTGTAATGCGGATTTACCTCAAGAAAAAGATTTGTAATGCATGATTGCAATAGTACGAGTGCGATACTTTTCCCCAGGATAGCGCAGCGCGGACTGCGATGTGGAGACGTTGATGGGAGCCACCTCGCATGACGGACTCGACTATTCGCGCATCGCTTCTGCCATCCTTTCGGGCGTGAGGTACGCATATCAAATGCAAAAATGTCTAGGTCTGGAAACTTGTGTTGCTGATACTTGCATTGCAAACTTGCTGCTTGTACGGCAAAAACGCATCAGAAATTTCCCTCGGCATTCCTTGCGGATTTCATTCGTATTTAGCATGACAAAGTACCATATCCAGCACGACAAAAAAACTGGCCAATGGTATTCATGCATTACAGATCTTGTTGTCCTTGAAGTCCTGCATCACAAATCCAGACCCAGACATATTTGCAATGCATAACGCAAAGGGCGACACGATTTTTGAGGTTGGGTCGGGGGCCGGGCTGCTGGCAAAATACCTATCCTGAGTAAAATCGTCCCCACTCCAGAGTTGTCATGCAATTCTGCATGCCAAAAAAGTTTCTCTTGCGGAGCCCTATGACGAGAAGCATTCTCTATTTCTGTTTTGGAATTTGTGATGCAAAAATCAGGATGCTACGCTAGATCTGTGATGCTTCTGAACTAGCTCAACAGGATTACACTACAAGGACAAACTTGTCATGCCAAACAACCAAGGCTGGTTGATTTGTCTAGGAGATTTCCGACCTTGGCACTGGTGTGGGGACGTTTTTAATCAGGATAATACCTTCCGGATCCCTATACCGGCATCGAACCCGCCGCGAGCTTGGTGGAATTTCATCAGAAGAACGAACCCGCGCTATTCTATGTAAAAACGCGCCCACCCCAGAGTCAAGATGGGGATCTCGCAACACAAGTCGAGAAGTTTTGGGAGTCACGCATGACAAGTTCCTCTCCGTATCGTGCTGCAGTTTAGCAAGTGAAGCCGCATCACAAAGCCATCTAGTCATCCTGCTTATAGCATTACAAATGCCAAAATACGACTGGAAATGCCTCTCATGTAGATGCGCATTACAAATGTTCCTGTCATTGCAAATCTGCATGACAGCTCTGGGGTGGGAACGTTTTCACATAGCATACGCGCGAGCTTCCAGCATCCAGGTCGGGCACGCGGGCGAAGTGATATCAAATGCAAAAATGTCTGGGTCTGGAAGAATGCAACTTGTCATGCTAAATCTGAAGCATGCAAAAATCTGTGTTGCATGATTACCACAAGTCGTCCGGTTTTGACCAAGTCGGGAGGCAGTTTCTCATGCAGCATAGGCACGATAGAGATCGCACAGAATCTGACGTGCTAGCTCCTGCAATGCAGACCTCGTGGGTCATGGAAAAGCTGCATGACAAACTTGCATTCTTCCAGACCCAGATATTTTTGCATTTCATAATCGAGTGCGAGCGACAAGTCCTACGACCATGTGATTCTTTACAGCATCGCGCAGTACTTTCCGGATTTGTCCTATTTCAACCAGGCCGTGCGCGAAGCCATCCGTGTGGCGAGGAAGGCCGTGTTTCTGGGCGATCTCCGCACCGTGGGGAGGACAAAAAACAGTGCTGCCGAACTGGACCACTTGACGGTGAGCCAGGAGGAGTTGCGCGCCATTGACTCCCGCTTTCAGGTGCTCCCCTCGTGTGCTGGGTTGGAGCATCAGAAGCCGTACGACGCGGTACTGTTTTTGGGGCCCACGATATCGCAAGCAAAAAGTGTTACAGTTACACATTGTGTTGCAATACTGGCAACACAGACAACCTTCCTCATGCAGGAAATGCTTTGGAGCCTCGTTTCCTTCCTGTTTTCCCTCAACATAATCTTTGCATTGCAAGTTTTCTCTGTCATGCAAGGAAAACTTGTGATGCTGAAGTCACAGCAAATGTGTAACTGTAACACTTTTTTCGTGGGATACACGGATGAAAAGGACAATGGATCATCTTAAAAACTACGATTCTTGTTGTGATGAACCAGCATCAGCAAAGGAGATAGTATTCTAGTATTTCTTCCCTACTTTAGCTTTATTAATTCACTTCTCAACAACTTCACCTCTGAAGATGAAGTGCTGATAGAGAGAGATTTGATCATGATTTTGATTGGTGTGGTGCCATCAGAAGATGACCCTAGCGATAGAATCAATTGATTTTTTTTCTGAGCACAGGCAGTCTCTAGCGACACGGCTTGACATCGACATCAAGACTGATTCGATAATGCAGGAGAAAATCTCCGTATAATACAAAAAGGCTAATTGGTACCATTTGCGCATCAAGTAAGGCGCCATGATGAAAAAATATGACCAAATATACAACGGGGAGAAGTCCTAGAAGTGTGCTGACAGCACGAACGAAATCTATTCAGTGTGCTTTGGAACAACAATAAACTACGGTGATCAGCTTCAACACGAGATTTCACATACGCATAGAAGGACTACTTTAACTATGATCAATGATTAACTTAGTTTCTTGTGGCACGACTTCTACAAAAGTGGCAAAAAAATAGTCCCCAAGAAAGCAAAGCGGTCACGACTCACTGTGGTCAGCAAGTCCCTCCACCTGTAGTGTAGTAGTTTCCCTTCGGCGTAGTTGAGCGGTGCTGGGGGTGCACCACTATGGCCGCGTCGTCCTCCCGTCCTGCGACTATGGTATCCTGTGCAAAAGTATCGTCCTCGTAGTAATTGCAGTCATGCATTACAAATCTTTTTCTCAAGGTAAATCCGCATTACAAATTTTATTTCTCATGCTGAGAAAATTTGTCATGCATTATTTATACGAGTACGATACTTTTGCAATGCATAGATGGTCGCGGATGGCAACGCGACGGGGGCCAGCACGACGTCCACGTCGCCCTACTCGATCATTGAGGTATCAAAATGAAAAGTCCCCCCTCCCCATATCAAAAGGAAGTTTCTGATGCTGGATTTGCGTATGCAAATCAGGTTTGTCTTGCAGTAGAGTACTGCAGGCTCCTGCCAAGATTGAGTAGACAGCTTTTGGCCTAGGCGCTTAGCATGAGAAACGACTAGGCTGTAGGCCCAACAGCATCACAAACCGCCTGCATAATGCGGCAGAGCCTGTGGCGTTGTCTTCTTGCAAGACAACCGTGATTTGTGGTCTCAAATCAGCAAGACAAATTTTCGGAAACATACCTGTTCGATATGGGGAGGGGGAGTTTTTCCTCTCAATATGAGGTGGCGAACTCTATGGCGGCGTCTGAGTGATTATTGTTTTATCGATTCAAAAATTCCCATTTCAATTTAAAAACAACTCTTATCCCAAGCTGTATCCATCTCTTCGTCGCGGGTCTGCAGGGTGGTTGCCGTCGCGGTTCCGGTGGTGCGTCAACATCCGGGCTCCAATTTATGCATATGAAAAGCGTTCCAATTTGAGCGAGCTAGATAAGGCAGCACAGAGGATGTCTAAATAGGGTATGAAGTAAGCATGTAGCTGAGGCTAATATGGGCGCCAATAGCGCCGCTTGTAAGGTATCCTGCCACGCCTGTTGCCGCTGGTGCCCCGTCAAAAATTTGCATTTTTTGCTGCCGCGATTCAACAGAGGTTTTTAAATGGAAGTTTAGACCTATCAATTTGCCTCTATCTGAGCGCCAATTTCTCAGCGTGATTGAGAGGCTCAGTCCGAGGCTCATTGAGAGGTCTCTAGAGAGGTCCGCAAATGCCTTCCGCCGATGATATGACGAAAAACAAAGCATACCATGACGGGGCACCAGGAACCAGCAATCAGCCGGCACCTGGGCAAGCAGCAACGAACCCGCTTCCAGAGGGCCTATTCCGGCCTCTGATTTCACCTTAAGCATGACCAAACTAGTTGCCTTATCTAGCTAGCTCAAATTGGAGCGCTCGTTTTGACTTGCGTACTCTTCTCCAACTGCTACCACCACGGGAGACGGCACCTGTACGCGCGCACGCGACGCGCGAAACAACACCTAAAGAGCACCTGATACTGCAATGTTTTTACTTTGAAATGGGAATTTTTGAATCGCCTTGACAGTAATCACTCAGACGCCGCCATAAACTCTCACGGTGGCGACTATGAGTACATGATGCAACTGCTCGGCGAGTTTAAGGATTTCGGACCGGGCTACGGCATCAAGTTTCAGCCCCTGCACCACACCACGCTCGCGACCCCCGACTTTCCGTCCTACCCGGTGTACGAGAGTTTTGTCTTCTCCTTCCAGCAATGGGGTACTATTTTCGACGAGGTGCGAAGGACGAGGAAGGATATCTGGCTGGACATCTTTGATACCTACGGGGTGGAAGTGCTCGGTCGTCACCTCGGGCAAGTGTACGGCCTGAAGCTGCAGGTGGGGGTTCTGGAGCACCTCCACGTGTTGGAGGCTTTGAGCCGGCTGGACCTGTCGGACAAGCTGCTGATCATGAACGTGGCCGCTCTGGTATCTTACGTAAACACGTCCCCATCCCATAGTCAAGTTGGCAACTTAGCAACATAAATCTAGAAGGTTTGGGACCCACGCATGACAAGTTGCGGTCCGTAGTGTAGTAGTGCAGGTTCGTAAGGAAAGCCGCATCACAAATCCTTCTGCTCATCCTGTTTCCAGCATTACAAATTCTAAAACTCGACTAGATATGCATCTCAACATGGGGACCCGCATTACAAATGTTTCTGTAGATGCAAATCTGCATGACAGTTCTGGGGAGGTGGGGACGACGTTTTTACACGCAATATCTGGAAGTGGACGCCATCCGCGTCTTGCTCGCCCGCCTGGAAAACAAGTTGCGGCCCAGAGAGATCCTTATCCAGGTGGGTATCCTGAGTAAAAACGTCCCCACCCGCCCAGAGTTGTCAAGCAAGTCTGCATGCCAAAAAAAAATCTCATGTGGAGCCCCATGAGAAGCATTTTCCGTTCATGTTTTGCTGGAATTTCTGATGCTAGAACCAGCATGATATGCTAGATCTGTGATGCTGCTGAACTGGCTAAACCAACGGGATCACGCGACGAAATCAAACTTGTCATGCGAACCAAAGTTGCTTTGTCTAGCAGATTTCCCATCTTGACTCTGGTGTGGGGACGTTTTTGCCCAGGATAGTGGGGTTTCAATCCTTTCCCACCAAGTTTGTCGACTGCGGTCTGGGGAAGCTGCGCACCATCAATATCAAATGCAAATATCCCTGGATGTCTGGAAACTTGTGTTGCTGGTACTTGCATGGCAAACTTGCTGCTTGTACGGCATAAAAGCATGAGAAATAATTTCCCTCGGCATTCCTTGGGGATTCATTCGTGTTTGGCATTACAAGCTGCCATCTTCCAGCACGACAAAAAAACTGGCCAATGGTATTCATGCACTACAGATCTTGTTGTCGTTTAAGTCCTGCATCACAAAGCCAGACCCAGACATTTTTGCATTTGATAATCAAAGACAGTCTTCAAAAGCGCATCGTGTTTGCGGACCACGAGAATCGAGACTTATCAAAAGAAAAAATCCCCCCTCCCCATATCAAAAGGAAACTTCTGATGCTGGATTGGCGTACACAAATAAGGTCTGTCATGCTGTAAGGGCAACGCCTGCCCCTAGCTGCTTAGCATGGGACGAAACGCGTGCCCTGTAGGCCAACCAGCATGACAAATCACGCCCATAATGCGGCGCATCCCTCAGCGCTTGCCTTCTTGCAAGACAAAAATGATTTGTGGCCACAAATCTGCATCACAAATTTCGGGAAGGATGCCTTTGCAATCTGGGGAGGTGGGATTTTTACTCACAATTAGCCTCCGAGTTTGCCCTGTGGCTCCCGGCCATGGCGTTGTGTTGCGGGGCCGACATTGTCGAAAAGCACGTAATGCACAGCTCACTGAACACCAAGTACGACTCCGTCTCCGCATTGAAGGTGCTATCAAATGCAAACATGTCTGGGAGGTCTGGAAACTTGTAATGCTGAGTTGGAACTAGTGAATGCTCTGAAATGCACTCGTATTTTCGTGCCTAAGTGATGTATGGGAAGTATTTTCGTGCCTAAGTGTTGCGGTTTTCGCATGACAGACTGCGTTTTGGCATGACAAGCAAAAGGCTCCTCTTCTTGGACGCGCATCACAAGCTCTTCAGTCATGCCAGACAAGCATGACAGGCCCTGCATCCTTCCAGATTCAGACATATTTGCAATGCATAGGTGCACGAGTTTACCAAAATGATGGATCTCACCTCGCAGGTGAACGGCGTGTTGCATGCCAAAGAGTTTGTGAACCGGCGGGTATCAAATGCGAAAATGTCTGGGTCTGCAAGATTGCTAGCTTTGTCATGCAGGTTTTCCATGACCCACGCGGTCTGGCATGTACGACCTAGCATGACAGATTCTGTGAGACCTCTATCATGCCTTTCCTGCATGAGAAACTGCCTCTACGAACTTGTTAAAAAGTTGACAACTTTTGGTAATCATGCAACACAATTTTTTTCACGATCCAGATGTAGCATGACAAGTTCCAACCTTCCAGACGCAGACATATTTGCAATGCATAGCGGGAAAAGGAATACTACGAGAAGGGCCTGATGTATCGCAAGAAAAAAGTGTTACAGTTACACACATAGTCTATGCAGGCCAAGCAAGACAGACAAGCTCTGTCATGCCGGATATGCAACATGGGAGCCTGGTTTCATAGGTGTTTTCCCGTAGGATTTCTGCATTACAAGTTTTCTGACTCATGCAGAGAAATTTATTGTGTTGCTGAATTCACTACAAACGTGTCACTGTAACACTTTTTTCGTGGGATATGATGCGACCGCTCCTTGCGCACGGAAGAGAAAAGGGGTCGCCCCTCTCCCTGGCCCACGACCTCGTGTTCCTGCGGAGCTTTATGGCGTTCTCAAACGTTATATTCTCAACTGTTACAAGATGAATTTGTGATGCAAGAATGGCAACAGTCAAAGGGGCAAGCTTGCTGCTTTCGCGTCACAGATTTGGCACAATATTAGATGCTGTTTAGCCTCTCGGAGATTTGTCATGCGAAGCAGCTTGATCATCTGGCGGCTTAAGGTAGTCTTGCATGACAAATCCACGTAACAGTTGAGAATGTAACGTTTGAGAACTCGATAAGCTTATCCAAGGGGTTGTCCTTCTCCGAAATCGAGAAACTGACCACCATATGGATTGCAAAAATCCCTGGATGTCTGGAAGATTGCATCAAATTGTCATGCTAAATCCGAATCATGCAGAAACCTGTGTTGCATGGGTGCCAAAAGCTGTCCACTTTCGACCAAGTTTGGAGGGAGTTTCTCATGCAGGATAGACATGGCAGAGACCTCACAGACACTGTCATGCTAGGTCCTGTATTCCAGACCTCATGGGGCATGGAAAATATGCATGACAAGTCTGCATTCCTCTTCCAGACCCAGACATTTTTGCATTTGATACATGACCGGCCACGTGCTCTCGCAATCCGTGGCTGCGGGCGCTCTATCAAAAGGAAAAATCCCCATATCGAAAACGAAATTTGTGATGCTGTATTTGAGTACACAAATCGACTTGTAATGCTAGAAGGCCACGAGACGCAGCTGTGGCCTCGTTCTTTCCAGGCAATTTGTCATGCTGTTCCCATTTCCAGCTGCCCCCTGTCATGCTGAAGATGCATAGGTTTATTCCCACGCCAACCAGCACTACAGTCGGCATCTTTTCCCTTCTAGCATGACAAAGCTGATTTGTGACCACAAATCTGCATCACAAATTTTTAGTTTGAGTATGTGGCGGGGGGATTTTTCACTTTGATACGCTCCCCTGCGTCGCGAGTACTTCAAGAGCGCCACGATCGGGGTTCTGGTGGCCTGCCGCCTGAAATCGGCCCGGTGTAAGCGGAAGGCGGTGCGCAAACTGGGCGACCTCACCTCTATCGAGCAGTGTCTTCGCAACTGTTGCAGCATGACCCGCGCGCACCATGTGGTGCTTTGTACCTCCACCACCGAAGAGGATGCGGAGCTGTCCGGCTACCGGTACAACTCATCCGCAGTATTGTCAGGAAAAATCCCCCCTCCCCACATCGAAAAGGAACACCTCAGTGAATTTGTGATGGTGATTTGTGACCACAACAGTGTCTGCTTTGCAAGAAAGCAACGGCATGAACTCCGCCCAATTATTATGCTGGCGGTTTGTAATGCTGTTGGTCCCACAGCGCAGACGTTCCTCATGCTAAAGTGCCTGGCCCAAAACCTCTGCGCATTGGCATGGTATGGGCCTGCAGTCCTCTACTGCAAGACAAATCTGATTTGTGTACGCAAATCCAGCGTCAGAAGTTTCGTTTTGATGTGGTGAGGGGGGATTTTTCCTTTTGATACGCAGTGGGGTTTCACCAGGGTGACCCGGAAGACGTGATTTGGCGGTATCTGGAGGTGGTGCGGCAACTCAAAATTGACGTGATCGTCCGGGTGACCGGGGTATCTAATGCAAATATGTCTGGGTCTGGAAGATTTTGAGATTTGTCATGCACGTGGTCCATGAGCCCTGATGTCTGTGATGCATGCCCTATCGTCACAGATGTTTTGGGGGCTTCTTGATCCCTATTGCGCATGACAAATGCCCCCTCCGCGTAGGAAAAATTACACTCCCTTTGCTGTTCATGCAATACAGATTTTTTTGGAATCCAGATGTAGCTTCACAAGTTGCAGCACGCTTCCAGACCCAGACATATTTGCATTTGATACGGGGACAATCCCTTCGTCTCCCCCGAGATGTGCGACCTCCTGCTCGAGAGCCACTTTCGCGAGGGCGCCGATTACACCGCCCCCCGGGAGGGCGCGATCGGCACGGGCATGGAAATCGTGTCGGCGCGAGCTTTGGAGCACATCCACGCCGTGACCGGCGGAGCGCAATACTCAGAGTACATGACCTGGTACTTTGTGAATAACCCCGACTGCTTCCGCTTGAACTTTGTCCCTCTCCCCGCAGAGTTATCGTACGAAAAAAGTAGTGTTTCACTGTAAGGATTTTGCAAGTTTTGCATCACAGGTTTGCTCTACATCACAGAGAAAATTTGCCATGCAAAGTTCCTAAGAGAAATAAACACAGCTAAAAATCCACTGTCTTGCATGTGTAGCAATACAAATCCTTCTGAGATACTATTTCATCTGCATATACAAGTTTACAGTAAAACACTTTTTTTCTGCGATAAGGTTTGTGCCGCGACTACCGTCTCACCTTGGACTATGAGGAGGACTATCAAATGTTCTGCACGCTTGTCGAGGGCCTGCAGTATCAAAAGGAAAAATCCCCCCTCCCCATGTCGGAAAGGAAATCTGTGATGCTGGATTTCCGTACACAAATCAGATTTTTCTTGCAGTAGAGGACTGCAGGCATATGCCAACCCTGGGCGGCGAGGTTTTATTTCCATAGGCGCCTAGCATTACAAATCTCCACGCTGTAGGCCCAAAAGCAACACAAACCACCTGCATAGAAATGCGGTGCAGGTGGTGGATTTGCCTTCTTGCAAGACGGAGACGATTTGTGGTCACAAATCAGCATTGCAAATTTTCTGTGGCTTCCTTTTCGATATGGGGAGGCGGGATTTTTCCTTACGATATGCAGAGGGAGAAGAAAATTGATCACACAGGAGACATATCAAATGCAAACATGTCTGGGTCTGGAAACTTGTGTTGCTGATACTCGCATTGCAAACTTGCTGCTTCCTTGTACGGCATAATAGCATGACGAATTTCGCGAGGCTTATTCCAGATTCGTTCGTATTTAGCATGACAAAGTGCCATATCCAGCACGACAAAAAAACTGGCCAATGGTATTCATGCATTACAGATCTTGTTGTCCTTGAAGTTCTGCATCACAAATCCAGGCGCAGACATGTTTGCAATGCATAAGACACACGCGCAGTACTTGCGTTCTTGGACGAGCATCCCGAAGTGGTCAGCATGAACTCGCTATCAAATGTAAAAATGTCTGGGTCTGGAAGATTCTGAGATTTGTCGTGCATGTTTTGCATGACCCAGGACGTCTGTAATGCGCGACCGCGCATCACAGGTTTTGAGCTGGCTTCCTGATGCCTACTCCGCATGAGAAACGCCCTCCCCGCGTAGCACAAAATAGACTCCTCTTGCTGGTCATGCAATACAGATTTTTCTAGAGTCCAAAGTTAGCATCACAAGTTCCAATCTTCCAGACCCAGACACTTTTACATTTGATACTCGCAAAAGGTGCTCAAGTGGGCCACGTATCATTTGTAAAAACGTCCCCACACCAGAGTCGTCAAGATGGGATGAAATCTGCTAGAGAAATCTACAAGCTTAGGTTCTTGCGCATGACAAGTTTTGGGCCGTAGTGTAATCCTCGACTTAGCTTGTTCAGAAGCATCACAAATGAAGCCTACCATGCTGATTGGAGCATTACACATTGCAAAGCACGACTAGACTTTATTTCTCATGGGGCTTCGCATGAGAAGCATTTTGCTCCTGCATTGTTGCATGACAACTATGGGCGGGTGGGGACGCTTTTACATATGATACCACGGACAAGGAGCTGATCGCGACTTTGAATGAGAAAACGCGACTCACCGCGATGCTCCACCCCGGGCCTCCGCGACAAGCGTGGCAGGAAGCGGACGAGGAGGAAAACAACAAGAAGCATATCAAATGCAAAAATGTCTGGGTCTGGAAGATTGCAACTCGTCATGCTGTTTTTGGACTCTGAAAAAGTTTGTATTGCATGACCAGCAAGAGGAGTCTAGTTTGTTTGTGCTACGCGGGGAGGGCATTTGTCATGCGGAGTAGGCATCTGGAAGGGTTCTAAAAGTCTGTGATGGTAGGGCATGCATCACAAACAATCCTGGGTCATGCAAAGTATGCATGACAAATCCGGCAATATTCCAGACCCAGACATTTTTGCGCTTGATAAAGCAAGCAAACCGGCAAGAATTGCTCGTGCAAGGCCAACGCGTTACCGGATGAGGACATCAAAGTAGTTATGTTTTCGACGAGTAGTCGGTCCTCTTGTTTGCGTGTTCTGTGGGAGGTTCTTGTGTGGTCACCACGCCTATTTTGGTTTTATAGTACACTAGCTGCTTTTAATATTTCATCTGAGCCCACGGGCTCCTCCGGCGGCCTATTTATCAAATGTAAAAATGTCTGGGTCTGGAAGAAAAAGAATCCAACTTGTCATGCTGATTTTGGACTCTAAAAAAATCTGTATTGCGTGAGCAGCAAAGAGAGTCCAAGTTTTGCTACACGGAAAGAGCGTTTGTCATGCGGTATACTTAGTCATCAGGAAGCCCTCACGAAATCTGTGATGCTAGGGCATGCGTCGCAGACATCAGGAGTGATGCAAAATGTGCATGACAAACATACATTCTTCCAGACCCAGACACTTTTACATTTGATACTATTTAGCAAGTCCTTATTCTTATTAATATTAATATATTTATATATGGAAGAAAACGGGGCCGGAGAGGTTCCGGTAGAGGGTGGGGAGAGGTTTGATAGAGGTAAAATAGAGGTTGGGAGAGGTAAAGTAGAGGGTCGGGAAAAAATAGAGGGTCGGGGAGAGGTAAAACGAGAGGTAAAGGAGAGGGTAGGGAGAGGGTGGGTAGTATGTCCGCCCGTATAGCGGGGCTATACGCCCGAAGAGGGTAGGTAGAGGGTGGACAGAGGTCAAATAGAGGGTAGGGGGAGAGGGCCGAGAGGGTCAGAGAGGGTGCGTAGTATAGAGCGACCCTCTATGTGACCCTCTACCGCGACCCTCTCCGGGAGCCTCTATTTTACCTCTCGGGGGACCCTCTCGGGACCTCTCCGACCCTCTCCGGGACCCTCTCCTCGACCCTCTCCTCGACCCTCTCCGCGACCCTCTCCGCGACCCTCTCCTCGACCCTCTCCTCGGCCCTCTCCTGGAACATCTCCAGGAACAAAAGCCGCCTGGCTGCGCGCGACACACACCTCTTCAAGAATCTAGGCAGGTAGGGCGCAAAGCTCGGCAGGCCTTGCTTTCGCATTCAGACCAGGGTGGCCGTTCAAAGTGCGTGCGCCGCTCTGCGTCCCCCAGAGGGGGCGCGGCGCCCCGCCTTAACCTGGTCGGCCACCTGGGGTGGCCGCAACTTCACACAACGCCCGCGCGCGCGCGGGCAGCAGATGCTTCGTCCTTGTCACGTCTTGAAAGTTGGCGCCCGAAAATAGTCTCCTGTGCGCATTTTCCCACGGCGCGCAGCGACTGAGGCCGGGCACGCAGCAGCAGGTGGAAGCAAGTGCAGGACGCGTCCCCGCGCCGTCTATTAGTAATACAGGCAGCGCCGTCTATTAGTAATACAGGCAGCGCCATGGAGCTAGAGGCGCGCCCCTCAGGGTGCCCAACCATGCCGAAACATGAGCCGGGCTTTTTTTATTTGGTTGCGTAGCGGCGCGCAGCGATTCATTGGTGGCGTCACCTTCCCCACCGGAACACCTCCACCGAGCAGCCCCCTCCCCGGCGGCCTCCGCCGGGGGGTGGCTGGTATTTATATATGGAAGAAAACGGGGCGGGAGAGGGTACAGTAGAGGTTGGGGAGAGGTTTTAGAGAGGTAAAATAGAGGGCCGGAGAGGTAAAGTAGAGGGTCCGCCAAAATGAGAGGGTCGGGGAGAGGTAAAACGAGAGGTAACGGAGAGGGTAGGGAGAGGGTGAGCCGTATAGACGCCCTTAAAGCGCGGCTATACGCGCGCAGAGGTAGGGTAGAGGTTGGGGAGAGGTCAAGTAGAGGGTAGGGGAAGAGGGTGTAGAGGGTCGGAGAGGGTGCGTAGTATAGGGCGACCCTCTACGCGACCCTCTACCGCGATCCTCTCCGGAAACCTCTATTTTGCCTCTCGGTGGACCCTCTCGGGACCTCTCCGACCCTCTCCCGGACCCTCTCCGAACCTCTCCCGGACCCTCTCCGAACCTCTCCGGGACCCTCTCCCGGACCCTCTCCGTGACCCTCTCCCGGACCCTCTCGCGGACCCCCTCGCGGACCACCTCCAGGAGCACAGCCTGCCCACCTGTCTGCGCGTGGCGCCTCCTCAAGAAGCTCGCTAGGGCGCAGCGACCGGCTGGCATTGCTTTTGCTTTCAGATCAGAGCGGCCGTTCAAAGTGCGTGCGCCGCTCTGCGTCCCCCAGAGGGGGCGCGGCGCCCCGCCTTAACCTGGTCGGCCACCTAGGGTGGCCGCAACTTCTTTCCCACAGCGCCCGCGCGCGCTGGCAGCAGGTGCGTCGCCCTTGTTGCGTCTCGCACGATGGCGCCCGAAAATAGTTTCCTGCGCGCATTTTCCTACGGCACGCAGGCAGCTACTAAGGCCGGGCATGCAGCAGCAGGTGGAAGTGTAGGACGCGCCCCCGCGCCGTCTATTAGTAATACAGGCAGCGCCCTGGAGGCGCGCCCCCCAGGGTGCCCACCGATGCCGAAACATGGGCCGGGCTCTTTTTATTTGGTTGTGTAGCGGCGCGCAGCGGTTCATTGCTGGCGCCACCTTCCCCACCGGAACATACACCTCCACCGAACAGCCCCCTCCCCGGCGGCCTTCGCCGGGGGGTGGCTGGTATTTTCCTATGCTTAATATTTTGCTCACCTGTAGTTTCTCGTCCTATTGAATCGAAACTACGGAACAAGCGAATAAACTTGATAAAATTGTTCACTGCTCAAAATGTATTATGCTAAAGCGTTAAAAGGCTCAAAACTTATGCTAAAGCGTTAAGCTACAGCAAAAAAGTTCGTATGTACAGCAGGGTATAGCGCAAGAAGAACTGATGGGGACATCAGCAGGCATCTTAAAGATATTCGAGAGATCATCATGCTTGTGAGCAGTCTGCCTCGCAGATGAAATGAAGGCTTAGCAAACGAGGGCTGCTCCCACACGCGGCCGTTGGTGAGGTGCAAGAGCATGTGTTTGTTGATGTTGATGTTCTACCAGACCTTGGCAATGGGAGACTTCGACAGCCATATAGATTCGGAATAGATTCCAAATAGATTTGAAGTAGATGGCTTCTGTTTTCCGAAAAAGCGTCTGCAGTTCTGCAGCACGCGATCGAACGGAGAATAAAAACAGTCACCGAAGTCGCGAGTGGGGCGCCGAAAAATGAAAACAATTCTGACCAAAATTTTCCGGGCCGATGAAAAGTGGCCACAAGGTGCCTGCCCTAGCCCGAGAAAGTGGCCAGGTGAAGGGGGTAATCTTGCAGCGCAAGCGCCGCGCTATGCTTTTAGTTGGGCCTCCAGACTCTCGGACCAGGTAAGAGCATACCCTGGCGCCTGGGCAAAAGATTGCTCTGGCCCGCAAAAGTTGGCACAGGCGCCACGGCATTCTTTTGCCGTGGCTGCCAGGTTTTAAATTTAAGGCCAGGCACTGTCACAGCGGTGCGCTTGTGATGCGAAATTCTCCTGGCCCGAGAAGGTGGCCAGATCGATGATGGGGGAGCGTGGTGTTTCTGATACGAAAATGTTCTGGCCCGAGAAAGTGGCCAGATAAGGGGGATGATCTTGAAGTACAAGCAGCACGCTGTGCTCTTACCTGGACCTCCAGACTTTGAGGCCAGGTAAGAGCATAGCATGGCGCTTGGAAGGAAAAAAGGCCGCGTCAGCCGAAAAAAAGTTGGCCCAAACACCACGGCACCCTCTTACCTGGCCTTCCAAATTTTTGGGCCAGGTAAGAGAGCAGCGTGGTGTTTGGGATGCGAAAATGTCCTGGCCTGAGGAGGTGGCCAGATGAAAGAGACACTCTTGAAGCACAATCGCCCTGCTGTGCTCTTACCTGGGCCTCCAGACTTTGAGGCCAGGTAAGAGCGCAGCATGGCGCTTGGAAGGAAAACAGGCCGCGTCGGCCCATAAAAAGTTGGCCCAAACACCCCGGCACTCTCATACCTGGCCTGCCAAGTTTTGGGGCCAGGTAAGCGAGCAACGTCGTGCTTGGGATGCGAAAACGCCCTGGCCTGGGGAGCGGAGGTGGCCAGATAAAAGAGACACTCTTGAAGCACAAGCGCGACGCTGTGCTCTTACCTGGGCCTCCAGACTTTGCGGCCCGGTAAGAGCATGGCATTGCGCTTGGAAGGAAAAAAGACCGCATCGGCCCAAAAAAAGTTGGCCCAAACACCACGGCACTCTCTTACCTGGCCTGCCAAGTTTTGTTTCCAAGCTCCCACACGTGCGGCCGTTGGTGAGGTGCAAGAGCATGTGTTTGTTGATGTTGATGTTCTACTGCACCAGTGTTTTAATAAGGATGCGGCTTTTTTTGACACATGTTCGGCTCTTTTTGACACATGGTCGGCCGGATCGGCCGTAGTCTCGCCGGTATTCGAAAAGCAAAAAAAAATGGCGAGAGCTCTTTTTGACACATGGTGACGGATTTAGGTGCGCAAAGCGAAGGCCAACTGAATGCGCGGACTGCCTGCGTTTTTTGGGCCCGGCCTACTGCGAAATACCGGGCAGGAAGTCGCAGGAAGAACGGGTGACATCCTTCAAGACTGGCGCGGGGCACGAACATGCACACAGAGCGAGGTCGCCGAAGAGCTACCGGCGCCAAACCAAAGAACGGCCGGGCACCAAGACAGCAATGAAATGAAAGAGTAGGCGAAAGAACGAAAGGGGGGCCCCCCGGGACAAGCCACTGCTCGACCCCTCGCGGCGCTGTGACACACGGGCCTAAGTAACGCCGCTGCGCTTGGCCCGGTTCTTTTCGAGGCTGGGCTGCGCCATGGGGTTGCTACCCCCCGCCCCCGGGTTCCCCTTGCGTGCCTGCCCATGCTGAATCCCGGCCGCCGGCCCCCCCGGGATGATTCTCGGCCGGCCGCCCGGCCGCACACCCCGGCCGGCCCGGACAGTCAGGCGCCCGGGCCACCGGCCAGCCCTGAATCCCGGCGCGCCACCCCGGAGTCCCGGCCTGCCGGCCGCCCCTGGGTCCTGGCCCGAAGAAAGTCCCAGAACCGCCGGCCCCCGGCCGCCCGGTGGCCCGCCGTCCGCCCCTGAAAGAATCCCGGCCCGCCACCCCTGAAAGAATCCCGACCGAGCGGCCCGGAATCCCTGCCGGCCTGGAACCCCTGCCGCCCCTGCCTCCCCGCCGTCCCTGAATCCCTGCAAACCCCCCCTGGATCCCTGCCGGCCCAGAATCCGCGCCGCCCCTGAAGCCCTGCCTTCGTTCCGCGAATCCGTACCCGCACACCCGGCTGGAGCCCCGGCCGCCCCTGTCTGCATCCCATCCTCGTGCAGAGACCACAAGGAACGGGGCGAAGGGCAAGGGGCGGAAGGGCCGCGGAGTTAGCGTCGCCGCGTTTCGCCCGGTTCGCTTTGAAACAGGCCGCCGCGGTGGCGTCTGAGACTGCCCCCTGCCCCCTGGCTGCTTGCCCAAGCTGCCGGGGCCAGCAAGATCCCCCAACTGACTCTGCTCCCCCTTGCAAAATCCCGACGCCCGTCGAAAACTAAAAAGCCGCCCTTTTTGTACCCCTACTAGAGAAGGTAAAAGAGAAGAAAGGAAAACCAAAAAGCAAACAACGAACGAAAGAAACCAAGCAGGAACGTCACAACACCCGAAAAGGTGAAAAACGAAAAGCGACAAAGAGCGCGGCCGTTGGTGAGGTGCAAGAGCAAGTGTTTGTTGATGTTGATGTTCAAGTTCAACTACAGCAGTGTTTTAATAAATAAAAAAACGGACGATCCTTTGGAAAAAAGCTAAAGAACCTTGAAATCAAAAAAATCGTAGTCTTTTTAGGCCCACAACTCTTCGACATCAGAAGTTAAAAGGTAATCTTGCTCGATTCTTCACGAGCCGAAGATATTGAGATCTTCACAAGAACGTCGGAGTAATATTCAGCTAAAGAAACAAGGCAAAAAACCTTAAGAAAATGTCGAGTTCCTATGCATTGCAAAAGTATCGTACTCGTATAAATGCATTACAAATTTCCTCAGCATGATAAATAAAATTTGTAATGCAGATTTGCCTTGGGAACAAGATTTGTAATGCAAGCCTTGCATTTATACGAGTGCGATACTTTTGCACAGGATAGTTCCGGTGACGCGGCAAAGTGTGTGGCGGTCGTTCAGGCCATATCAAATGCAAAAAGGTTTCGGTCTGGAAGGATGCAACTTGTGATGCTGCATTTGGATGTCTAAAAAATTTGTGTTGCATGAGCACCAGCGAAATAAGGAATCTAATTTCCGTACGTGGAGAGGGCATTTTTCATGCGGAATAGGCACCAAGAATCCCTCAAAAACCTGTGATGCTAGGGCATGCATCACAGACATCATGGCTCACGCAAACCGTGCATGACAAGTCTCAGAATCTTCCAGACCCAGACATGTTTGCATTTGATAGGCCAGGATGTTTAGCAACAACGCAAAGTCTAGGCATTGCAAAAAATATGTCTCATATCAAAAAAAAAAAAAACTCGTCACGATCACTCATGGGCATTTTTGCAATACAAAATTGTCTGTCATGCGTAAAAATGCATCACAGCCACACTTCATAAGGGATTTCCCTAGTGTTTCTGCAATACAAGAAGAAGTTGTGACGCTAAAAAGATTTGTAATGCAAAGCCTGCAACTTAGTGACTGTGACAAACTTTTTTCAATCCATATCTCAGTCTGGATTATTGTGGTGCGAAATGTGATGTTGAAGGGCAACGAAAACGAAAACGAAATCAGTGATGTGCATGAAGAGGTAGAGGATTGGTAAAAATAAAATAGGTTTTTCTTTCTTCTCGCCGTGCTGCAGTGAAATAAATGCGGTAGAATTCTTCGCAATATTACCGCACGAAACAGAAGTCTGTCGCAAAAATACGTGGATGATCTATGACCCCGTTTTTATCACGCAAGAACACGCAGCAAAAATGCAAATTCGCTGCGTCTTCAATAAGTATTCCACCAGTGTAAGTACCAGACATCCAGGGAAGACATATAGTTTCTTGCATTTGATAAGAGCCAAGCCTTTGCTCGAGGTCGGGGGCATATGCAAGAAAAAAACTGTGTAAGTGTAAGTTTCTTGAAGGAATATTAGCATCACAAGTTTGCTCTGCATGACACAGAAAACCTGTCATGCGTAGCTTGTATCATTGAAAACACGTATGAAATAAATAGCCTCTGATGCATGTGGTCCAGCATGACAAGTGTATTACCGTTTTGCATTTCCTGCAACACAAAGAAAGTTACACTTCTTACACAGCTTTTTTCTTGGATGCAGCATGCCCTTGTTGCAGTGCGTCCTGCAGAACGTGCACGCGTTGCGCCAAGTCAAGGAGTATCCTGTGCAAAAGTGTCGTACTCGTATTGCAATCATGCATTACAAATCTTTTTCTCAAGGTAAATCAGCATTGCAAATTTTATTTCTCATGCTGAGGAAATTTGTAATGCATTTATAATATACGAATACGATGCTTTTGCATTCCATAAGGAGATCGTGCTTGCGATTACGTTATCATCTGCAAAAAATATTATGTCTGGACGTCTGGAATAAACTTGTGGTGCTGAACTGTGGATGACTGAAATATTGTCCTTTGCAGCAGCCAAGCGTGATAAGTTTTTATAAACGTCGCTCTACTCTCATGCTCAACTGTCCGCAACGTCGCTCTACTCTCATGCTCAACTGTCCGCATGATGCGAATATTAAACTGCGCTTGTGTATAATGACCAAAGAGGGCCGGCGTCTTCTTTGTTAGTCATGATGCAATACAGATTTTACAGTAATGTAGGACGCCTAGCATCTTCACAAGTTCCATGTTTGATATTCCAGACCGAGACATAATATTTGCAATGCATATACGCAGGAGCCGGCCGACGACGCGTTCGAGCAATTGCCCTTTGTGCAAGCGATGCTCGCGCAAGGGAAGCTGCGCATTTTCAAGGGCGCCAGTCTGGATGTGGTGCGGCGCCTGACCGACGCCGTCGCGGCGTACGAGGACCAAGACTGCCTGTTGCGCTTCAGTATAAAATGCAAAAATGTCTGGGTCTGGAAGGATGCCAGACTTGTCATGCAGGTTTTCCGTGACCAATGAGGTCTAGTATGGAGGTCATAGCATGACAGATTCTGTGAGAGTTCTATCATGCTTATCCTGCATGAGAAACTGCCTCGCGATTAGGTCAAAAGTGGACAGCTTTTGGTAATCATGCAACACAAATTTTTACATGATTCAGATTTAGCATGACAAGCGGCTTTGTTCCAGACCCAGACATTTTTGCATTTGATATTCAGCGTGAATCACCCGTTCGTGCACACGTCGGTCACGGAGAGTATCAAAAGGAAAAATCCCTCTTCCCCATATCGAAAAGGCATGTTTCGTTCCGAAAATTTGTGTTGCTGATTTGTGACCACAAATCAGATCTGTCTTGCAAGAAGGCACACTGAGGCTGTCCGCCACGTTATGCAGGCGATTTGTAATGCTATAAGGCTTACGGGGTAGCCGTCTACCATGCTAGGCACCTCCACCAAAAGGCCCCCGCCTAGGCTCAGGATCTGCGTGCATTCCTCTACTGCAGCGCAAATTGGATTTGTGTAGCCAAATCCAGCATCAGAAGTTTCGTTTTGATATGGGGAGGGGGCTTTTTTCACTTCAATAGAGAGCATTATCAAGTCACACCTCGATGTATCAAATGTAAAAATGTCCGGGTCTGGATGATTTCCAGGTTTGTCATGCATGTGTTGCATGACCCATGATGCCTGTAATGCATAAGCTGGCATCACAGATTTTCACAGGGATTCCTGATGCCTACTGTGCATGAGAAATGCCCTCCCCGTGTACAACAAACGAAACTGGACTTCTTTTGCTCCTCATGCAATACAGATTTTTTTCGAATCCGAAGACAGCATCACAAGTTACAATCTTCCAGACCCAGACATTTTTGCATTTGATACGATGCCGGGGCGGACTACACCGCCGTCGACGGGTATGCAAGAAAAAAACTGTGTAAGTGTAAGTCTGCGATGCAGAAAATGCAAAACAGTTACGCTTGTCATGCTCCACATGCATGGTGGGCTCGCTTCCTCCGTGTTTTCCCGTCCTATCTGCGCATGACAAGGTTTTCCTGTCATGGCAGACAAACTTGTCATGCTGTTTTCCCAAGAGACCTACACTAACACAGTTTTTTCCTTCGATAACGGGCTGTCTTTCCTGTGCCCCGATATGGGGTTCTCAGCCGTTACATTCTCAATTGTTACATGAATTTGTCATGCAAAAGCACCATCATCATCCACGCGATCAAGCTGCTTCGCATGACAAATTTGCCTAGGGCTACACAGCACCTAAATCTGTCCGCAATTTGTAATGCTACAGGCGCAATCCTCCCCCTTTCACTTTTCCCATTCTTGCATCACAAATCCATGTAACAGTTGAGAATGTAACAGTTGAGAACGCCATACCCGAGGTCTTCCGGGTGGGGGCACTCCGGGTGCTGAACGGAATGAAAGACCTCTCCGATTTCGAGCGGGAAAAGGTATCCTGAGTAAAAACGTACCCACACCATAGTCAAGATGGGAAATCGGCTAGACAAATCCACAAGTTTTGGCTGTTTTGCATGACAAATTTGGATTCGTAGTGTAGTGCTGTTTGAGCTAGCTCAGCAGCATCACAGATCTAGCATACCATGCTGATTGGAGCATGACAAATTGCAAAACACGACTAGAAAATGCTGTTCATGAGGCTCCGCATGAGAAACATTTTCAGCATGCAGATTTGCATTACAACTCTGGTGTGGGTACGTTTTTACTCAGGATAAAAGGTCGCGGTCCACTTCTGGAACAAAAACGCGAACTTCCGCTCCTCGATTCTTATCCTAAGTAAAAACGTCCCCCCCAGACTCAAGATGGGGATTTTACAACACAAACCTAGAAGTTTTGGGAGTCACGCATGACAAGTTGTACTCCGCAGTGTATTTTTGCAGGTTGGCAAGGACAGCCGCATTGCAAATCCATCTGCTGGTTATCCTGTTTACGGCATTACAGATTCCAAAACACGACTGGAAATGCCTATCATGGGCGACATGCGCATCACACATGTTTCTGGTATTGCAAATCCGCATGACAACTCTGGGTTGGGGACGTTTTTACTCAGGATAATTCTTCCGAAAAATTTTGGCGGTCTTGATCCTTCACTGGAGCAGTACCTTTTTGGCACTTTCCAGGCGAAAAGCGATGTGGACCGGTTGAGCGAGATCGTCGCCAACTGCGTGCTATCCTGTGCAAAAGTATCGTACTCGTATTGCAATCATGCATTACAAATTTTTTTCTTCAGGTAAATCCGCATTACAAATTTTATTTCTCATGCTGAGGAAATTTGTAATGCATTTGTGCGAGTGCGATACTTTAGCAATGCATACGTGCGCGCGGAGCTGCCGAGCGACTGCCCCTACTTGCCAGGCACGGATATGTTCCCCTCCGTGGAAGCCTATCATTTGTAAAAACGTCCCCACACCAGAGTCAAGATGGGAAATCTGCTAGACAAATCAGCCAGCTTTGGTCGTTTGGCATGACAAGTTTCTCCTCGTAGTGTAATCCTGTTTAGGTAGTTCAACAGCATCAGAGATCCAGCATATCATGCTGATTGTAGCATCACAAATTCCAAAACACGACTAGAAAGTGCCTCTCATGGCGCTCCGCATGACAAACTTTTTTGGCATGCAGATTTGCATGACAACTCTGGTGTGGGGACGTTTTTACTCAGGATAAAGCCATCTTGGAGTTCGCAAAGAAACAGCTGTCCGACTTCCGGTCCGCAACCGCAACCACCCCGAGTGTGATGCCGGGAGGCACCGCCGTCTACAGTGCCAGCACTGCGAACAGCAGCAAGGATATCCTGAGTAAAAACGTACCCACACCAGAGTCAAGATGGGGAATCGGCTAGACAAGTCCACAAGTTTTGGCTGTTTTGCATGACAAATTTGGATTCGTAGTGTAGTGCTGTTTGAGCTAGCTCAGCAGCATCACAGATCTAGCGCACTATGCTGATTGGAGCATGACAAATTGCAAAACACGACTAAAGAATGCTTCTCATGGAGCTCCGCATGAGAAACATTTTCAGCATGCAGATTTGCATTACAACTCTGGTGTGGGTACGTTTTTACTCAGGATAAAGGAGGTCCGCATGGCCGGCGTGCCGGTGGGTCCGGGCTACCCCTGCTACATCGCCGCGGAAATTGGGCAAAACCACAACGGGGACATCAACCTAGCGAAGAAGCTGATCGACATATTTTGCGGAAAAATCCCCCCTCCCGATATTGAAAGCGCATCCGCCTGAAAATTTGTGGTGCACATTTGTGACGAGCACAAATCCTGGCTGTCTTGCAAAGAGGCAAACTCAGACCGTCCGCCACATTATTTTGCAGGCGATTTGTAATGCTGTATAGGCCTACAGAGAAAACTTTGCATGCCCCTACTCGGGTTTTGTGTCTGCCTGCAACCCGCTACTGCAAGACAAAGCCAATTTGTGTACACAAATCCCGCACCACAGATTTCCACTTCGATACGGGGAGGGAGAAAATTTTTTCCCTTTGATACGACATGTCCGTGCGGTGCGGCGTAAACGCGGTCAAGTTCCAGAAGCGCGACATCCCCTCGGAGCTGACAAAAGAGGCGTATGTATCACATGCAAAAGTGTCTGGGGCTGGAAACTTGTAATGCTGAGTGACATAGCATGTGGAGGCCACAAATGATGGCTTAGCATGACAAGTTTCTGAGCTACTTCTAAGTGTTGCCTATTCTGCATGACAAACTGCGTTTCTGCGACACAGAAGGATAGGGCCTTTGGGTAACGTGCATGACAGACTTAAGAGTCTTGCTAGCGTAGCATCACAAACCTTGCACTCTTCCAGACCCAGACATATTTGCAGTTCATAGTATGACCGACCCTACGACAACCCCAACTCCTTTGGGCGGACCTACGGAGAGCACCGCATAGCCCTGGAACTTAACCCCGAAGAACACCGCGAGTTGTAGCATTTGTAAAAGCGTCCCCACCCCAGACTTGTCATGCAAAATGGCATTCCTAAAAAAAAATGTTTCTCATGCGAAGCCCCATGGAAGGCATTTTCTACTCGTGTTTCGGAATTTGTCATGCTCCAATCAGCGTAATGGGCTAGATCTGTAATGCTGCTAAACTGTCTAAACAGCATCACACTACGAGGCCAAACTTGTCATGCGCAACAGCCAAAAGTTGTTGATTTGTCTAGCAGATTTCCCATCTTGACTATGGGGTGGGAACGTTTTCAAACATGATAAGTTGGCGATCTACGCCAAGTCGCAAGGCACGGTGTACTTTTGCACTCCCTGCGACATCCCTTCGGTGGATGTGCTGGAAGACATTGGCGTGCCGTTTTACAATATCGCAAGAAAAAAACTGTTTCCCTGTGAACTTGTGATGCAGAAAATGGAAAATCAATGGACTTAGGTCGTGCTCCGGCACAAGTCTCGCACCCCGAGACTTGTCGGGCGGGGTTTGGGGATATCGGCGGACTCGGATCGTGTCTCGCCTGGCGTCTCGTTTTCGGAGATCAATGAGCCAGGGTTTGGGGTTAAGGAAACCCACAGAAGCGAATCAAGCAAATCAATGGACTGAGGTCGTGTTCCGGCACAGTTCTCGTATTCAGAGACCTGTCGGGCGGGGCTTGGGGATATCGGCGGACTCAGATCGTGTTTCGCCTGAAGTCCCGTTTTCGCAGATCGGTGGGCCAGGGTTTGGGGTTAAGGAAACCCACCGGAGCGAATCAAGAAAATCGATGGACTCGGGTCGTGTTCCGGCACAAGTCTCGCACTCGGAGACTTGTCGGGCGGGGTTTGGGGATATCGGCGGACTCAGATCGTGTTTCGCCTGCAGTCTCGTTTTCGGAGATCAGTGGGCCAGGGTTTGGGGCTAAGAAAACCCACAGAAGCGAATCAAGCAAATCAATGGACTCAGGTCGTGCCCCGGCACAAGTCTCGTACTCAGAGACTTGTCGGGCAGGGTTTGGGGATATCGGCGGACTCGGCTCGTGTTTCGCCTGAAGTCTCGTTTTCCGAGATCTGTGGGCCAGGGTTTGGGGTTAAGGAAACCTACAGAAGCGAGGCAAGCAAATCGATGGACTTAGGTCGTGCCCCGGCACAAGTCCCGCACCCAGAGACCTGCCGGGCGGGGTTTGGGGATATCGGCGGACTCGGCTCGTGTTTCGCCTGAAGTGGGAAAAAAGTGCGCGCGTGGCAGTTTTTCATCAATGTAATTTATAACAAAAACCTGCGATGCAGATCTTGCAAAATCATCACAGTGAGTCGGTTTTTTCGTGGGATATACAAGGTTGCCTCCCGTGACCTGACCAACCTACCGCTGCTCTCCTATCTGGGCAGCAAGGGCAAGCCCGTCATTCTGAGCACGGGCATGGTATCAAATGCAAATATCCCTGGATGTCTGGTAAGATGCAGCGAATTTGTGTTGCTGAGTCTTGCAAGGCAGAGCGCGGTTCTGTACGGCATTCACGCACCACAAATTTTTCGCTTGGTATTGCAAGTTCTACCGTGTTTCGCATGACAAACCAGCTTCCAGCACGATAAAAAATCTGGCCCGTGATCGCATTCGTGCATTACAGATCCCGTTGTCTTTCAAAATTTACATGACAAATCCAGACCCAGACATATTTGCGATGCATACATGGCCAGCGAGGACGACATCCAGAACGGGCTGGACGCCATCGTATCAAAAGTAAAAATGTCTGGGTCTGGGAACTTGTGATGCTGGGTAGCGTCTCATGATGAGGCTACAAATGCTGGCTCAGCATGACAAGTTTATGAGCTCCTAGGTGTTGCCTATTCTGCATGACAAACTGCGCTGCTGCATCACAGAAAGGCGGAGCTCTTGGGTAACGTGCATGACGGATTTAAGAGTCATGCCAGACAAGCATGACAAACATGAATTCTTCCAGACCCAGACATTTTTACAGTTGATACATCGGGAATGGTATCGACTGCAAATATAATCCCTGGATGTCTGGAAGAGTGGAAAGTAAACTTGTCATGCATGTTTTCCATCACCCCATGAGGTCTGGAATGCAGGACCTAGCATGAAAGACTCTGTGAGGTGGTCTCTGTTGTGCCTATCCTGCATGAAGAGAAAGAAACTCCCTCCCAACTTGTTCGAGAGTAGTTGACAGCTTGTTTATTTGGCACTCATGAAATACAGATTTTTGCATGAAATGATTCAGATTTAGCATGACAAATTGCTAGTGATTTATTTCCAGACGTCCAGGGATAAGTATTTGCAATCCATAAATGGCGTCAAGTGTCCGATTATCCTCCTGCAGTGCACGAGCTCGTACCCCTGCACCTATCCTGAGTAAAAACGCACCCACACCAGAGTCAGGATGGGGATTTTGCAACACAAACCTAGGAGTTTTGTGAGTCACGCATGACGAGTTGCAGTCCGTAGTGTAGTGCATGTGAGCAAGGAAAACCGCATCACAAATCCATCTTCTTATCCTGTTTGCAGCATTACAAATTTCAAAACACGACTGGCAATGCCTCTCATGGAGATGCGCATTACAGGTCTTCCTGTCATCGCAAATCTGCATGACAACTCTGGGGTGGGTACGTTTTTACTCAGGATAGCACCCCGGAGAACGTCAACCTGGCCTGCATGAAGACGCTGGCGGACAAGTTCGGGTTTGTGACTGGATTTTCGGACCACACCAAAGGGGTGGTCTGTCCTTTAGCCGCGGCCGTGATGGGTGCCTCGATCATTGAGAAGCACGTCACGCTCGACCGGTCGATGAAGGGCACGGACCATATCAAAGTGAAAAATCCCCCCTCCCCATATCAAATGGGAAATCTGTGATGCAGGATTTGTGTACACAAATCAGCTTTGTCTTGCAGTAGAGGACTGCACGCAGATACGAAGCCTGAGCTGGGCCTTTTTCGTGTAGGCGCCTAGCAAGAGAGGCTTATCCTCTGCACGCCATACAGCATCACAAATAGCCCGCAAAACGCGGCGGAGTCTCTGGAAGCTTTGCCTTCTTGCAATACAGAGACGACTTGTGTCCGCAAATCAGCAGCGCAAATTTTCAGAAGTGTCTTTTTTCAGTATGGGGAGGGGAGCTTTTCTCTTACGATAGACCAGCCGGGCTCCCTGGAGGAGAAAGACTTGCTGGAAATGGTGCAAAACATTCGCATGGCGGAGAAAGCAGTCGGGGACGGAATCAAGTGTGTAAATCCGGCCACAGCCGCGGCAATGCACAAGCTGGCACGCAGCGTGTACTACAGTGAAAAATGCCGCCACCTCCAAAGTTGCAAGAATTTGTGATGCGAAGTTTTCAAATGAAAACTTTTTGTCATGCATGAAAGGAGTATGGATCTTTCTGATGCAGAGTCTAGGCGTAAGTATATCGCATCGCTTGCATGACAAGCGCCACTCTTGCTGGGATCTTTTGCAATACAAATTTTCGCCATTCACGATTGGGAATCTGTAATGATGCTGATAGATGCAAGAGGGCGAATGTTTCCGTTGGAAAGGTTTGCAATACAAATGCCTCCAAGTTCGGGGGCGGGGTTTTTTTCATTGTGATAGCGTGACCTCGAAGCGGGAGATCCAGAAGGGCGAGGTGATCCAGGAAAGCATGCTCTGCTTGAAAAGCCCGGTATGCATTGCAAATGTGTCTGGGTCTGGAAGGATTCGAATTTGTGATGCGCATCCATTCTACATCATGACAAACTCTGTCATGCATGGCCAGCAAAAGGCCGCGCCATTTCTTGTTTACAAAAAGGGGATTTGTCATGCGGATTAGGTATTGGGATAGGGATACCTGCTCCATTATATCTGTGATCGTGATGCTAGGGCTTGCATGCCAGACGATCTGGGTCAAGCAAAAACTGCATGACAACTTCCAGACCCAGACATAATTGCATTTCATACCCGGGGGACGGGTACAAGTGGGTGGATCGGGTAAGATTCGTCGGAAAGGTTGCCGCGCAGCTGATCCCGAGTGACGCTACCCTGCGCGACAACATGATTCTCGCGGAGCCGGAAGGGAAGAGTGGAAAGTACTGTGAGGAAAAATCCCCCCTTCCCATATCGAAATGGAAATCTGTGATGCGGAAAGTGTGTACACAAATCGGCTTTGTCTTGCAGTAGAGGACTGCAGGCAGATACAGAGCCTGAGTGGGGGCGTTTTGGTGTAGGGGCCTAGCAAGGCAGGCGCATCCTCTGTAGGCCATACAGCACTACAAATTGCCTGCATAACGCAGCGGGGTTTTTGGATTTGCCTTGTTGCAACACAGAGACGATTTGTGGCCACAAATCAGCATCACAAATTTTCAGAAGTGTCCCGCGTTGGTATGAAGAGGGAGGATCTTTCCTCACAATAGAAAGAAAGGGGACGGAGAACCGCAGGGAGCGACCGACTCCGTCTCTGTCGGCGCGTGACCGTATGCATTGCAAATATGTCTGGGTGCAACTTGTAATGCGTATCTTGCATTCCTGGAAAATCTGTGTTGCATGAGCAGCAAGTGAGCAGCTTTCCTTGTTATGCAATAAGGCTTTTTGTCATGCGCGTCACGCAGCAGAGAGCGTTCCGAAAGGTTGTCATGCCCGGCTGCCATTGCAAGCGTTGCAGTCATGCGCAATTCAGCATCACAGGTTTCCAGACATCCAGGGATATTTGCATTTGATTTGTCTCTGTCGGCGCGTGAGACGTGGTAGGTGAGAGCAGGTAGTTTTCACATCAGCTGCAGCGAGCTGGTCGATGTGCGGAACATCTTTGAGCATTAAGTAGGTAGCACTCCTTCTGCACTACTACTTCTTGTTACGATCTTGATATAACTTTTGTAACCACGACAACCACAACTACAACATTGCAAGAGTTTTATTTTTCGCGTAGAACTATTTTATAATTTTTTTTTGATTTTTTCATTATGTAGACCTACCCTCACAGAATAGACGCGAATGGTAATTCTGTGCCATTTGACAGGGTCGACCCAGCTGTGGTCGTCATTTCTTCACTCACTTAGCAGGATATTTTTACGGAAGTCATTACAATTTTTACTGCTGCATTGCTTTTTTCGTAAAATGGGGAATTTTTGTTGAAGTAGACTTTTTCGATACTAATCTACGAATATTTCTAGAAGTACTGCTATTTCTAGTACTAAGCTGATTTTTAAGTATGCAAAACAAAGCGGCAAACAGATGCACCATGTTGCCAACAACAGCTTCACTAGCCACAACACCTCACAGATGTTTGTTCCTCTGTAACAAGCAGAAATAGAAATATTCCTAACCCGGGATTCAGAAAGCACTTTAGCCATTGAATTCTACAAGACCTAGAGCGGTTGACAGTAATTTGACAGGACAATGATCTATGTCATTCAAATTGGCTGTAATCTTCGATAGCTACAATGGGAGTGTAGTTTTATTTATGTTGTACTGTTTGTGAAACAACAAAAACACGATTTTTACGATTAGACAAGAGGAAAATAAATCGCAGAAGGACGAGGAAAAATCGAGCAGAACCCTCGGACGGCGAGATCCATTGCGACGAGCAGGTCTGCTGCTGCTGCTTCGCAGTAAGTATCTAGCACGGGCGGTCGCTCGGCGACCGCCGGAGAGGTATGGAGTAGACAAGGAAACGATGGGCCCGATTTGTTTCCTAGTAGGAAGGTTCGTTGCAGTCGCGGGGAAGGGGGGGGACGAAAACTAACCCTACAGGCGCTGGGCTTTTCCGTGCGCCTGAGCGTCCGAGAGAAAGCCAAAGGCGCGACAGCGGCCCACCCCAGTCCCCAGGAGTATGAGGAGCTCCTGGAAACAGAAAGAACACTCGGGGCCACCCCAACATGTGAGGGGGCGAGCCCTCCAGATTGTTCCCAATTTGCGAGCACCCCCACAAGTTGCGAGCCTTCCGAGTGGCTTCTCGTCATCCTAGCTACGCTCCATTCTATTTCTAGTTACGCCCCCAAGGTGGTGGGGCTGCTTTTGACGGGGCCCACCGGGCCGCAGCTGCGGAAACTGCGCGACGAAGAACCTGGCCGGCCAGGCAGGTGCAGCGAACACAGTGGGGCTGGGCGCGCTGTGTGCGATGGCCATTCGGGGCAGCGAGAAAAGGCGCCTTTTTCTTTGCGCAGGGCGGCGGGGGCAGCCACACGAAGAGGGGGCCGCCCCCGCGGAGCAAAACGGGGCAGCCCCAACAAAGCGTAAAGCCATCCCCGGCACCGTGGCGGGGAAGGAGCTACTTCCCCTGCACCTGCGGGCCCAGCAGCGCGCGCCGCGCCACCCGTTCTCAGTATTAATTCGCCCTCCTACGGCTGCGCCCCCTTTCCCCACCCGGCACGGGTTGCTCGGCGCTAGTTTCTCCACAGGGGGCAAGGGAAGCAAGCAGCGCGGGCGAGCTCTGTGGCGCAAGCTCGGGGCGAACCGGCTCGCGAGGCAATTTTCTACTAGTAAGCTTTCTCCTAGTAAGCCCTCTACTAGTACGCGATCCATTGCGACGAGCAGGTCTGCTGCTGCTGCTTCGCAGTAAGTACCAGTATCTGGATCTCGCGCCGCAGTGCAGACACAGTGGCGCGGGGATCCGCACATAACAATAGAACAATAGCACTGCAGCAACTAGATTTCCTGGAAGCGGCTATATGAAGAGGCTTGGCCGAAGGGGAGGCGCCTTCTTGGCGAGGGGTTTTGGCGGGAAGGGCAGCCGACGCATGAAAAAAACTTCAGTTGCCCTGCCAAGCAGCAAAAGGCAAAGCAGCAAAGTGTGTAAGTACTTCAGGTTTCCGATGCTCGCCAAAGCACGAACAAAAGACAAAGAGAAGAAAAAACCAAAAGAAAACTGGCAGGCTTGCGCCAGCAGCAGCCCCAAACTTAGAACGCTTGGCCCGGCCGGCGCCTGTAGTGCCAGAACGAGAAGCAGGGCCCAGCAATCGGGGCAGAAAATAAGCGCTTGCCCTCCAGGTTGATGCCGTTGCATTCGGTGACAGACGCACCCCCTATCGGCTGGGGACTAGAAATCCGCAGCAGGTGCGACCGCCCTCTCTGTTTTCACATCACTGCAGCCACCCCCGCGCAGCTAGGGCCAGAATGCCGCTCTTCGGGGTACATGCGTTTCGGCTACCTGTCGCTGCGATTTGTGGAGGTAGGGGTCGCCGATGGAGGTGGTCGCTTGATGGTACATACAAACACAGCTGCAACCCTGTGAACCGCTCCGCACCTGCTGGCGCTAATAATTGTAAATAGCGCGCGCCGCTGTAGTAGCAGGGCTTCGCCACGCCTCTTGCTTCCCAGCAGCACGCACCCCTGCTGCAGCAGCGCGCTCATTTGGTCCAGTTCGACGAGCAGGTCCATTGCGACGAGCAGGCGAGATCCATTGCGACGAGCAGGAATGATGCTGTTGCTTCGCAGTAAGTAGTACATCATCTGCACTACAAAATGAAAATGCTGCGACGCGGCCGTCTTTATTTTCTATGATAAAAATTTATTGTTGTCGTGGAAAATAAGCGCGGCGCTCCTCTTTTCAAATTGATTCAGCGTCGCAAATCAATTAGTCCGAAGTTGGGACAAGGCCTGAAGTAGAGCCTCACACGAGGACACGCCGCTCCCCACTCAGTGCGGGGTAGGTAGAAAGACGACGATGATGAAGCACGCTTTATCTGCCTACCATTGCGGAGGTCCCTGATGCTGGCATCTCGGTGTCGCGCGAAGCACTGGGCCCTTCGCAACGCAGACCGCACGTCCTGCAGAAAATGCCTTGGCCGTGCCGAACAGTGCAGCCTTGCTTCCTGCTCACACTGTATCAAATGCAAATATGTCTGGGTCTGGAAAGTTGGAACTTGTAATGCTGGTCTTGCATTCCTGTGAAATCTGTGTTGCATGCATAACCAACAAAAGTGGCAGCCTCGCACGCGGTTACACTAAAACGCAATTTCTCATGCGGAGTTCGTATGATAAAGCGTTGTGCAGACTTGTCATGCTTTCCTGCATGAGGAAGTGCTTTCATCATGCACATTTTAGCATCACAAATTTGCAGTCCCAGACATATTTGCATTTGATACGCTACTCGTGCTGACGATATGGACGAGTGTCAAGATATGGATTGCAAAAATGTCTGGGTCTGGAAGAATGCAGGAGTTTGTCATGCAGGCTTTGGATGACCCATGAGGTCTGTGATGCATGCGCTAGCATCAGAGATTTTGCGAGGGCTTTCTGTTTCTGATGCTCATACCGCATGAGAAATGCCTTTCCGCGTGGCACGAATTACACCTCTTTTGCTGTTCATGCACAAATACAGATTTTATGTAGAGTCCAAAGGTAGCATCACAAGTTGCATCCTTCCAGACCCAGACACTTTTACATTTGATACAAGAACCGCCACTATTATTTCATCCACGGTGGGTCCGGCTCGGCGTCGGGTGGGTCCTGCACGACTGCGTTGCATATCAAAAGGAAAAATCCCCCCTCCCCATATCGAAAAAGGAAATTTGTGATGCTGATTTGTGGTCACAAATACCCTCTGTCTTGCCTATAGGGTAATGGGAGCAATGTGGCGCATTCCACAGCCAGTCTGTCATGCGCTTTTGACTACTGCAAACCTGTTTGTCATGCCCAATTGCTAACCTTCTGCACATTCAAACAGGCTTAGAAAATGCCGCCAAGCACTTTCTGCAAGACAGATCTGATTTGTGTACGCACATCCAGCATCAGAAACTTCCTTTTGATATGGGGAGGGGGGATTTTTCCTTACGATATTGCAAGTTGTGCAACTAGTACATCAACCCGCTCCTGCTCTACCATATCCTGTGCAAAAGTATCGTACTCGTAGTAATCGCACACATGCATTACAAATCTTGCTCTTCAGGTGAATCCGCATTACAAATTTCATTTCTCATGCTGAGGAAATTTGTAATCCATTTATGCGAGTGCGATACTTTTGCAATGCATATACCACCCGATCCTGGTGCTCTACCACCGGAGAAGAAGAAGGGAGACTACAGCGCCGGGGCCCCCGCGGAGACTAGTGCAAAAGTTCTACATGATCTTGAACCAGGACAACTACAAGAGCTTGCTCCGGTAAATCTTCACGACGACGGCGCGGCAAAAATAAAGGGAGTGCAACTAGATCAACATGTGTTCAAGAAGGAGTATGGTTGGCGCTTGGACCGAATCCTTTCTCTTGCTGATGCCGGGAGAAATTCAACCGAGGTATCTAAGGTTAAAATCCCCCCTCCCCATATCGAAACGAAGTTTCTGATGCTGGATTTGCGTACACAAATGACGTCTGTCTTGCAATATAGGACTGCAGCCAGATCAGATCCTCAGCCTGCTTCGGAGTGTAAGAGTCTAGCTGTTTCGCATGAGAGACGCCTGCCCTGTAGGCCCAACAGCATGAGAAACCGCATCCACAATGCAGCGCACAGAACGGCGCTTGCCTTCTTGCAAGACAGAGCTGATTTGTCGTGACCACAAATCTGCGTCACAAATTTCCAGAGTGATGCCTTTTTGATATGGGGAGGGGGGATTTTTCCTCTCAGTGCGAGGTCGTCTTTCACCTGCAGCAGTTGGTGTGCCACGACTTTGCAGCCAGCCCCCTCCCCCCGCTGGGACTGAAGTCCAACGACTACACTGGTTCTTTGACAGTAGAACCCGCCCATAGTACACCCTCATCCAAGAAGGAGGATGCTTTTACAACAACAAGGCCCAGCACTTCTCCCGGCGGCGCGTCTTCTTCTTCAGGCAGTAAAGCAGGGGAGACCACATCTTCAAGAGTAGATATTATAAAAAAAGAACATCAAGATTGCCCTCAGCTTTTCGACGGTCCCTTATCAGCTGCAAATATGTCTGGGTCTGGGAGACTGCGAGATTTGTCATGCGACTGCGAGTCCGGCATGACTCTGAACTCTGGATTGCGTGGCCGCAAAGAGCTCCTCTCAAAGAACGCAGTTTCTCGTGCGGAGCACGCAACTCAGAACCATGGAAAAACTTGTCATGCTGCGCAGCGCAGTACAGTGCGCGCACTATGCCGTTTCTTGCATCACAAGTTCCCAGACATCCAGGGATATTTGCAATGCATATCCCTGCCATGTTTGCAAAATGAACCAAAACTTCTTCTACTATCCAGGAAAAAAAGTGTGTTAGTGTAACTTTCTTGGAGGAACAGCATCACAAATTTGTTCTGCATGACAGAGAAAACCTCTCATGCGTGGTTTGTAAGGGAAAACACAAGTGAAAAGAGGACTGCGTGCTTGTCTGGCATGACAGGTGTAACTCTGTTGCATGTTCTGCATGACAGAGTTACACTTACACACTTTTTTTCTTTCATATCTACCCGCAGAAGATCACAACCGGATATCCTGAGTAAAAACGTACCCACACCAGAGTTGTCATGCTACTCTGCATGCTTAAAATGTTTCTCATGCGGAGCCCCATGAGAAGCATTTTCTAATGCGGTTTGGAAATCTGTAATGCGCCAATCAGCATGAGATACTAGATCTGTAATGCTGCTTAGCTAGCTCAAACAGCACTACACTACGCGTCCAAATTTGTCATGCGAAACAGCCAAAGCTTATGGATTTGTGTAGCGGATTTCCCATCTTGTTTCTGGTGTGGGTACGTTTTTACTCAGGATACCGGAAATGAGAACATCATGGAAATAAAGAAAGAAGTAGAAGCTGCAGCAGGAGAAGTCCCTGGAGCAGGTGTTCCTTCTCTACTGGACGCGTACATATCCCACGAAAAAAGTGTTCTTACAGTTACACATTTGTAGTGAATTCAGCAACACAAATTTCTCTGCATGAGAGAGAAAACTTGCAATGCAGAAATCCTACGGGAATAAAACACCTATGAAACGAGGCTCCCATGCATATTCATCCGGCATGACAACGCTCGTCTGTCTTGCTTGGGGTGCAGCAACACAATGTGTAACTGTAACGCTTTTTTCTTGCGATAGTACAGATCATTTCACCAACAGAGCCTGCGAGGAGTCCGGCTTTCTAATTCTCCTCCGCGCCGAGCGGCCCAGTATCGCAAGGAAAAATCCCCCCTCCCCATATTGAAGAGGTAGGTTTTCGAAAATTTGTGTTGCTGATTTGAGGTCACAAATCATGTTTGTGCTGCAAGAAGACAAGGGCAGCAGCTTCCGTCCCATTATGGAGCCGGTTTGTCATGCTGTTGAGCCAACATCACGGACGCTTTTCATGCTAAGCGCCTAAGTCAAAGCCTCTCCACTCAGGCTTGATATGGGTCTGCAGTCCTCTCCAGCAAGACAAATGCGATTTGTGTACTCAAATAGATACTGCATCACAAATTTCGTTTTCGATATGGGGAGGGGGGATTTTTCTTTTTGATACCCAGGAGCAACTCCTTAACAAGCCTCGTCCCGGCGGGACCACGGCAGGAACTTCTACAACAGCGCCGAGACTACACAGCATAAGAATAGTTGCATGGCGGTATTGAAAGGAAAAATCCCCCCTCCCCATATTGAAAAGGTATGACTTCGAAAATTTGTATTGCTGATTTGAGGTCACAAATCATATTTATCTTGCAAGAAGACAAGGGCAGGAGCTTGCGCCCCATTATGGAGGCGATTTGTCATGCTGCTGGGCCTAAAGGGGAGCCGTTTGCCATGCTGAGCAACTAGACACATGCGCCCCTTTCTAGCCTGGAGATGGATCTGCCGGCAATGCCACTCTGCAATACAAGGCTGATTTGTGTACGCAGATCCAGCATCAGAAGCTTCCTTTTGATATGGGGAGGGGGGATTTTTCCTTTTGATAGGCGGCATCGCAACGGATTTGGCGGCGCTGGGGACCTATCAAATGCAAATATCCCTGGATGTCTGGAAGAGTGTAGACTTGTCATGCAGCCTTTCCATGTTGACCCCTGAGGTCTGGAATTATGCGGGACCTAGCATGACAGAGTCTACTGTGAGGTCTCTGTCATGCCTATTTTACATGGGAAACTCCCTGTCACCTTGGCCAAAAGTAGAAGAGCCTTCGGCACTCATGCAACACAGATTCTTGCGTGATGCGGATTTAGCATGACAACTTGCATCCTTCCAGCCCCAGACCTATTTGCAATGCATAGGACCAGATGGGCGGGCTGTTCAACGCCTTCGCCAGCGCCCTGGTCCTGTATTACCGTGAAAAATGCCCCCACTCCCAAGGTTGCAAAAATTTGTGATGTGAAGTTTCCAAATGAAAACTTTTTGTCATGCATGCGCATGCATGAAAGGAGTACGAATCTTTCTGATGCAGAGTCAGACGTGTGTCGCATCGCTTGCAACTGCACAGCTTGCATGACAAGGGCCGCTCTTGCTGGGATCTTTTGCAGTACAGATTTTTGCTATTTAAGATTGGAATTCTGTGATGCTGATAGATGCAAGAGGGCGAATGTTTCACTTGGAAAGGTCTGCAATACAAATGCTCCCAAGTTGGTTCGGGGGTGGGGGCATTTTTCATTGTAATATCCTGAAAGCGCTGTTCTTCGTGGTTCCGGCCCCAGGCGGAGGGGACGAAGACACCAGCGTCCTGGCGAAAGTATCAAATGTAAAAATGTCTGGGTCTGGAAGATTCTAAACTTGTAATGCTGTCTCTGGATTCTAGAAAAATTTGTATTGCATGACCAGCAAAATAAGGACTCCAGTGTGTGCTACGTGGAGAGAGCATTATTTCTCATGTGCTAGAGGCATCACAAAGTCCTCTAACAATCTGTGATGCTACGGCATGCATCACAGACATCATGGGTCATTCAAAATATGCATGACAAACCTGGCAAACTTCCAGCCCCAGACATTTTTGCATTCGATAGAAAGCGCTCCAAGACCACCAGCACATGGTTTCACCCACGAACGTATCAAATGTAAAAATGTCTGGGTCTGGAAGAGTCATGCTGTTTTTGCATGACACAGAAGGTCTGGCATGGAAGCTCTAGCATCACAGGTTTTGAGAACCTTCCGCAATGCCGAATCCGCATGACAAGTCCCCTATTTTGGTGGCAAAAAGTGGGAGCTTTTGCTACGTATGCATGAGAGACTTTTCTGTGTTCTGAAATACGCATTACAAGTTGCATTCTTCCAAACCCAGACATTTTTACATTTGATAGAACGAAAACGGCAAGAATAATATTGGCTTCTTGCTTCCGAGTATCGTACGAAAAAAGTGTTTCACTGTGATGACTTTGCAAGATCTGCATCACAAGTTTGCTACACATGACTGAAAATTTGTGATGCGCGCTTCCCAAGGGAAAACACGCTTGCAAATCCAATGCCTTGCTGGTGTAGCAAGCCAGAGAGTTCTGTGTTCCATTTTCTGCATCACAAGTTCACAGTGAAACAGTTTTTTCTCACGATACCGAGCACCGAGAAGCTCCGAGAGGTCGCGCAGCAGCTGAAATCGAAGCAACAAGTATCGACCTCCACGCGAAGGAGGAGTCTACAACCACTTTCGTATGCACTGCAAATATGTCTGGGTCTGGAAAGTTGGAACTTGTAATGCTAGCTTTACATTCCTGGGATGAAATCTGTATTGCATAACCGACAAATAAAGCCGCACCCATTTTTGTCATGCAAAAACGCAGTTTCTCGTGTGGGCTGCCTATGAGAAAGTGCTCCGGATGAAAGTTGTCATGCTGGTCTGCATTCGGAAGTGTTTCCATCATGCACATTTTAGCATCACAAGTTTCCAGACCCAGCTATATTTGCAATCCATATTTCTGGGGCCACTACAACAAATCCAGTTCCTAAGGTCGTCGAGAAAGTTACCGTGAGGAAAAATCCCTCCTCCCAATAGTGAAAACGTATGTTCCTAAAAATTTGTGATGCTGATTTGTGAGCACAAATCCTGTCTCTCTTGCAAGAAGGCAAGTCCAAAGAATTCGCCGCCTTATGGATGCGATTTGTAATGCTGTTTCACTTACATGGAGAGCCTCCGTCATGCTAAGTGCCTACAACAAAACACCCCTACGCAGGCTGAGGCTTTGCCTGTAGTGCCTCACTGCAAGACACGGCTGATTTGTGTACACAAATTCAGCAACAGAAATTCCCGCTTCAATATGGGGAGGGGAGATTTTTCACTTTGATAAATGTAATCCGCAAGGTCGACGCACGCCTGACCACGGGACACATTTTGGACGCATTCCGAGCCGGTGCCGAATTGGTCTATGAACTGCAAATAAGTCTGGGTCTGGAAGAGTCGGAGCTTGTCATGCACATTTTGCATGAGCCATGATGTCTGTGATGCACGCCCTAGCATCACAGAATTTTTGAGGGCATCTTGATGCCTACTCAGCATGACAAATGCCCTCTCCACGTAGCAAAAATCGCATTCCCTTTGCTGCTCATGCAATACAGATTTTTTTGGAATCCAAATGCAGCATCACAAGTTGCATTCTTCCAGACCCAGACGCGTTTGCAATCCATATGGTCCTGGTGGAGACCAACTCAAAGATGGTCCCACTGTACTCGACCTGCTTTCCGCGCTGCGCTTTATTACACTGAAAAATGCCCCCACTCCCGAAGTTGCAATAGTTTGTGATGCATAAGGTTTTCAAATGAAGAACTTTTTGTCATGCATGCGTGAAAGGCGTATGAACCTTTCTGCTGCAAAATCCAGGCGTATGTAGCATCGCTGGCATTACAGGCGCCACTGTTTCTGGGATCTTTTGCATATACAAATTTCTGCTATTCACGACTGAAGATCTGTGATGCTGATAGATGCAAGAGGGCGAGTGTTTCATTTGGATCGGTTTGCAATGCAAATGCTCCAAGTCCTGGGGTCGTGGGGGCATTTTTTATTGCCATACGCCTTCGACTTTCTTTTTGCACCCACGCCGGGTCTAGCAGACAGGGTCAAACAGGCCCGCGCGTTGCTTCTTCAACACGCCGGAGTCGTGTCAGACCAGGGACCCAGCGGCGGCCCAGGAAAGAACAAGAACATGACGCACGAGCTGCACAAGGACCCCGTCCTCGCGACGTCGTCGACTACTTCACTAGACAACAAGAAGGACCACGACGACCACGACCTGGTCGCGCCTCCCGCCGGCCGCCTGGTCGTGCCGCCCCGGCCCCCTATGAAATGAAAATATGTCTGGGTCTGGAAGATTCCCAGGTTTGTCATGCATGTTTTGCATGTCCCATGACGCCTGTGATGCATGACCTAGCATCGCAGATTTTTAGGGGGCTTACTTATGCCTAATCCGCATGAGAAATGCCCTCTCCGTGTAGCAGAAACTGGGCTCCTCTTGCTAGTGACGCAATACAGATTTTTTTAGGATCCAAGAACAGCATGACAAGTTGCAACCTTCCAGACCCAGACATTTTTGCATTTGATACTCCCGCGGCCTCGGGCGCCATCAATCTGCATGCACTTGCGGTTCGGCCGCTTCTTTTCGGAGGGGCTGGCTTTCAAGTCCACCGGCACCGGGGCCTTGCAGCGATCGCCGGGTGCGTGGAAGATCTTCCAAGAACAGATGGCCAACGTTATCAAATGCAAATATGTCTGGGTCTGGAAGAATGCGAGGTTTGTCATGCGCGGCTAGCATGGCCTTCCAGTCTGTCATGCTCCCCACCCAAAAGCCACATTTCTCTGCAATTATGCAGAAACGCAGTTTGTCATGCAGATAGGCAACTACACTATAGCAACTCCGAAACTTGTCATGCTTGGCTGTCAATGAAGGTGGCGTCCACATGATTCGCCAAACAGCATCACGAGTCCTTTCCAGACCCAGATGACATATTTGCGGTGGATAAATGTTCTCAGCTGCGTAGATCGGATTGCAAGAGCGAAACTGCACGAAGATGCGGACGCAAATACCACGAAAAATGCTACATCAAAACTAACGACTGACGGCAGGAAAGATCCCGTTGCGGTCGCATCATCATCTTCGCAAAAAGCGCAGCTTCTGGTGTTTTCCGACACTCAGGCCGCGAATGAGCACCTCGCAACAGCCAGCAAAGACACCACAAGGAACCACTTGTTCGAGGTAGTCCGTCTTCCATTTCCGCCACCACTAACAAATGCAAAAGTGTCTGGGTCAGGAAGATTTCGAGATTTGTCATGCATATTTTCCATGAGCCATGATGTCTGTGATGCATGCCGTAGCATCACAGATTTTTAGAGGGCCTTGCGATACCTCTCCCGCATGAGAAATGTCCTCTCCGCGTAGCACAAAATGGAGTCCTCTTGCTGGTCATGCAATACAAATTTTGTTAGAATCCAGAGGCAGCATCACAAGTTCCAACCTTCAGCAGACCCAGACATTTTTGTATTTGATAGCCACAGCACGTGGACAAAACGAAGAAATCCGACATGCAACAACTGTGGACCGAAATTTCGCTGCTCGGTACGTGTGATGTGTATGCGGGATGGTATTCCGGCTTCAGTGAGTTGGCATGGGCCTTGGCGTACCTATCAACCGCAAAAATGTCTGGATGTCTGGAAATAAAGTGTAGACTTGTCATGCAGATTTTCCATTACCTTTGAGGTCTGGAATGCGGGACTTGCCATGACGGACATTCTGTGAGATCCCTATCATGCCTATCCTGTCGATGAGAAACTCTCTTCCAACCTGGTCAAAAGTGTACAGCTTTTGGCACTCATGCAACACAGATTTTTGCATGCTTCAGATTTACCATGACAAGTTCCAATCTTCCAGACCCAGACACTTTTGCATTTCATAGTACCCTTCCCCGCACGAAACCTGGGGGCTCTACAACTGTAAGCGGCAGCAGATTCGGGGCCTCATCCTGCGCCGATAGAGCGAATTATATGACCTAAGGACCTGGATTTTTTTTTTTCTACATCGATAAAAACTATATATAAACTTGGATTTCATCTACATCGATAAAAACTACAAGGGGACAGCTTATGTCGTGCAAGGGGAGGGTGAACGAGTTTGCGAAGGGGGAAAGAAAAAAGGAAGAGATGGGGTGGGAAGGGGGGAAGGAGTGATGATGTTCAGGACTATCTAGTTGTGGGAATAATCTCGTGTGTCGGTTTTAAAGCTAATTTGTGATGCGAAGTTACCGTTCCTGCATGAAATGTGATTGGGAGTTCCTGCTGAATAATGTGATGATGATATTAAGTTCGTACACGATAATGCGAAATGAAGACGAACCAAAAGTGTGATGCTGGTTCCCGCCTGAGAGCATAAATGTACACTGAAAGTTCAAAATGTATACACATCAAATTTTGTTCACAAAATGCCTTACAATTGAAATTTTGTTCCTCTGATGTTGTTCAAAATTTCAAATGTGTAGGCTCCTCCGCTGCGATCCATGTGATAAGTGTGTGTTCATGTGCAAAAATTTGTCGTTCAAAATTCCTGTTCGAAAATTAGGTCGTGAAAAAATCTGATCTCCGCATGACGTTCTTGTTGAAAATCAGTTTGGAAAATTTGATGTTTCAAAAAGTTGCGCCAACCCGCAGGACCGCTTGCGCGCTTCCCGCGCCTGTGGGCGCTCTGCGCAGGGAGCAGCTGCAAAGAACACCGGGGGTGAACAGAAGCCGCCCGGCGCGAGAGGGTAGAGCGAGTGGGTGGCGCGAGAGGGTAGCGCGAGAGGGTTGCGCGAGAGGGTCGCGCGAGAGGGTTCGTGGCGAGAGAGGGTGGCAAGGAAAGACTCCGAAGAAAACAAGCTCGCAAATGGCCTGCAATGCGAAATATGGGTAGTGACATGCGGATTCGCGCCCACTTCTTTCTGTTTTTACCCTCTCGCAGACCTCTCGCAGACCCTCTTTTTGGCCTCTTTTCGGGGTCCCCGCTAATAGTCCGGCTATACTCGCGGGTAGAGGTCGACAGAGGTGGCCGAGAGGTGGCCAGGAGGGTGCGCGGGAGGTTCGCCCTTATTCGCGCAACCTCTCGGCACCTCTGTCCACCTCCCGCTTGCCCTCTGTTTTACCTCTCGGCCACCTCCGTGCCCCTTAGCGGCCCTAAAGGGCGACCGGTTCGGCGGGCTATAGTCACGCCACCTCTCGGCCACCCTCCCGAATAACCTCCCGCGCCACCTCTCCACCTCTGTCGACCTCTTTTTTGCCTCTTTTGACCTCTTTTTGACCTCCCTGCCACCTCTCGTTTACCCTCTCCCGAACAATATTTTCGCATGAATATAAAAGATAGTAATAGTGGATTTGGATTTCTACATCGATAAAAACTATATATAAAGCAAACAGTTTGATATCTTCTTCAGCCTCAGCGCAGTTGTCAAGCCAAATATTTAGATAAAGACTATGCAAACACTTTAACCGTATATTCAGTATCAGTTGCACCGTCAGAAAGTATAGCTTGTTGAAGAGCTGCTGCCATCAGATCTTCTGACCAACATCGATAGACATCGCAGCAGAGCTCCTGCAATGACCTATCTTCAATGAGCTGATTCTTGATGTGGTCTCACTATGCTTGAATATTCAGGGCGCAGTGCAGTGCGGTGGGTAGAGCCCGTTGCGGCCGCAGTTCTTCTTATCTATACGGCTATACAGTGCGGTGATGATAGATCGACAAGACAAGTGGTCTACGGTAGTAGTTTTGGTAGATGATAGAAGATCGACATCAAGCAGGTGGGACAAGATCATGGCTGATTTGTATAAATCAGCTTTGCCCAGTGATTGTTTGTTCGTCTTCGCACTATAATGCGCACATTAGCTATATGCATTGCAAAAGTGTCTGGGTCTGGAAGAATAGTACAACTTGTCATGCTAAATCTCCAGCATGCGAAAATCTGTGTTGCATGATTACCAAAAGTCGTCCAGTTTTGACCAAGTGGTCGGGAGGGCGTTTCTCATGCAGGATAGGCACGAGAGAGATCGCGCAGAATCTGACGTGCTAGGTCCTGCATTCCAGACCTCATGGGAATGGGTCATAGAAAAGCTGCATGACAAAGCGCGCACTCTTCCAGACCCAGACATTTTTACATTTAATAAAAGCTACTAATACCAAGACAACTCCATGATTAATATGCTAACGCGATCAACATCTTCGAGTTCGAGATCCCACGCGATATAGTATTCAAAACATCTGCCGTCTTTATTGATGTCAGGTGTTTACATATGATATTTGATTTTATTAGAAAAACAAATAAAATTTTAGCTACGGGGAGTTGTATTTCTATTTTTATTTTTACGATGAGCAGTAACACCAGTAGGAGGTATTTGTTACATACGTGTACCGGAAAAGATAACTATCGCTAGTCTTTGGTCATCATCCTGCCTTCTACTTCTGCATCCTCGAGGGCGAGGCTATCGCAGAGAAGATGAGGACCAGCACGACATGACAGCCGCAACACCGCAGCTGCGGCCACCGGGGGTGTGCGTCGCCGTCGGAATCTGGTTTCTGCTCGTCTACTTCTCGCGGAACAATCTCCAGTCCGAACAAAGCCAACAAGGAGAGCTATCCTGTGTAAAAACGTACCCACCCCAGAGTCAAGTTGGGAACCCAGCAACACAAATCCAGAAGTTTTGGGAGCCACGCATGACAAGTTGCAGTCCGCAGTGTAGTGCATGTTAGCAAGGGCAACGGCATCACAAATCCACCTGCTTATCCTGTTTGCAGCATTACAAATGCCAAAACACGATTGGAAATGCCTGTCATGGGGAAGCGCATTACAAGCGTTCCTGTCATTGCAAATCTGCGTGATAACTCTGGTGTGGGGACGTTTTTACTCAGGATAAGAGCGGACCGGTGTTGCGTGTAACCGCTACCGCTTGTTTCAGCATGCGGAGGCTCCTTCGCCGTATTCTGCGTAAAAACGTCCGCGCCCCAGAGTCAAGATGGGAAATCTGCTACACAAATCAACCCGCCTTGGTTGTTTCGCATGACAAGTTTGTGCTCGTAGTGTAATCCTGTTATAGCTAGTTCCGAAGCATCACAGGTCTAGCATATCATGCTGATTCTAGCATCACAAATCCCATAACGCGCCTAGAAAATGGCACTCATGGGGCTCCGCATCAGAAACTTTTTTCTTTTTGGCATGCAGATTTGCATGACAAAAATTCTGGGGTGGGGACGTTTTTACTCAGAATACGCCGCCTGCTGTAATTATACAACCGCCGCCAGCGGGTGGAGTTCCGCACGAAACCAGCCCAGACACGACGACCAACCAGGCAGCGGCAGCAGAGACGCGGAACACGAACAAAGCAGTAGAGCAGCTGCCTACATATTCCAGTAGTACAACGCGGCCAATGGAAGTTGTGCGTAGTACAGATGAACAAGATCATAAACGTACTAGACCTGCTGGAGGAGTAGTACAACAGCCAGAGGGTTCATCATCTCCTGCTAGTACAGCAGCTTCTACTTCACCTACTCCGGGGCGAGTCCGGCACGTGGTTTTCTACTCGGCCAAGATGTTTACGCCCGGGCAGGACGGCGTGCGCCAGGTGATCGACAGAAATGCCATCTTCGTGTGGCGCTGGCTGTCGCAGGTGTATTCTCCTATCGGACGAAAAAAGTGTTTCACTCCGAGGATTTTGCAAGTTTTGCATCACTTCTTGCTCTACATCACAAAGAAAATTTTCGACGCGATATTCCAAAGGGAAGACACAGCTAAAAATCCATTGTCTTGCATGTGTAGCAAGACAAACACTTCTCATATGCATTTTCTGCATTACAAGTCTACAGTGAAACAGTGTTTTTCTTGCGATATCTCCGTCCCTTCAAGTAATCGACTTCTCCAACCGGACCGACGTAGTGGCAGACGTGGGAGACTATGCAGTGCAAATATGTCTGGGTCTGGAAGGGTGAAACTTGTAATGCTGTCTGCGGAATCTAAAAATGTCTGTGTTGCATGAGCAGCAAGAGAAGTCCAGTTCTTGGCACGCGGAGAGAGCATTTCTTATGCGTGATAAGCATCAAGAAGCCCTCAAAAAATCTGTGATGCTAGGATCTGCATCACAGACCTCACGGGTCATGCAAAATGTGCATGACAAACCCCGACTCTTCCAGACATCCAGGAATATTTGCAGTTGATAGAGACAAGGTTCCCACGATCCCGAAAATGTACCGGGTCGCCATGGCGACCTTTCCGACAGCGGAAACCTTTACCTACGTGAACTCTATGCAAGAAAAAAACTGTGTAAGTGTAAATCTGTGATGGAGAATTATGTAAAACAGTTAGCACTTGTCATGCTAGATCTGCGTCATAGACTACTATCGTACGTGTTTCCACTGATACTAGCTACGCATGACAGGTTTATTTCCCTGTATATGCAAAGCGAATTTGTGATGCAGCTCTTCCTACAAAGTTACACTTACACAGTTTTTTTCCTGGATAAACTCCGACATTCTGCCGTCCACCTGGTTTGTGAAAACCGCTGACTTCCTATCCTATGTAAAAACTACGTCCCCACACGACCAGAGTCAACATGGGAAGTCTGCAACACAAATCCCTAACTTTTGGGAGTTCTGCATGACAGGTTTCCATCTGCAGCATCGTGCTGGCTAGCAAGGAAAGTCGCATGAAAAATAACAATAAGCCGTTTGCTTCTCATCCTGTTTACAGCATTACAAATGGTGCCAAAGCACGACTGGAAATATAAATATGCCTCTCATGGAGATGCGCATTCCAAATAGATTCCTGTGATTGCGCAGGTGCATGACAACTTTGGGTGGGGACGTTTTTACACAGGATACTTCCTCGCGGATACTTATCGGAACTCGGGCACCGAGTTTCTGGCGGTGGGGATACGCCGCAACCTGAAGTGGCAGAAGTATCCAAGAAACAAACTGTGTAAGTGTAAATTTGTGTTGCAGAAAATGCAACACTGTTACACTTGTCATGCTGGACATTCATCAGAGGCAATTTTCGTGCGTGTTTTCACGTACTAGCTACTCATGACAGGTTTTCTGTGTCATGCAGAGCAAACTTGTGATGCCATTCCCTCAAGAAACTTACACTTACACAGTTTTTTTCCTGGATAAGAAGGAGTGGGATTTTGCGCAGATGAACGACGGGACAACTGGAACAACAATAGGAAATAACGCAAATAGTAAAAATGATATCATCAAGGCCCCGCCTCATGTAATCGCGTCGCCCACCGCCGCCGAGCTTGCCGCTCGGGCAAACTCCACTTTGAAAGAGTGTGGTGTTGACCTGACCACCGCACTGCGTAGCTGGAAGTGCGCCCCCAACGGTGGCGTACTCGCGCAGGACTACTTTGTGGCCTCGCGCAACATCTGGGACTGGAACCGTATCCCGGAGTTCCAGATTGGTCGGGTATCAAATGCAAATATCTTCCCTGGATGTCTGGATGATCAAACATGGATGCCAGGTTTATTGTCATGCATATGTAGCTGCATGACCCATCACGCTAGTAATGCATGACGTAGCATCACAGATTTTTAGAACCCTTCCTGATGCCTATCCCGCAAATGAAATATGCCCTCCCCGCGAAGCACAAACTGCCAACTCCTATTACAGCAGTGTTTTATGCAATACAGATTTTTTTAGGTTGCAAAGACAGCATCGCAAGTTGCACCCTTCTCCAGGGGTCCAGACATAATTTTTGCAGTTGATATCGGGTGGGATACGACAACTGGCTCGTCGATCGCGCGTTTCACGCGCACCCAAAAGTTGCCTTGATAGACATCGCCCCCTCCTGTCCCATGATCCACCAGAATGGCCGGTTTGGCGGTAGCGAGGGGTGGCACGGCCACAACAAAAAGGACCTGCTGGTCAACTACAAACTTGCTATTGCGAGGAAGCATTCTCTCTCCCCATATGGACCGTTTTTGACAATGTGTATTGCTGATATGAGCCCACCAATCGTCTCTGTGTTGCATGAAGGCTTTTCCACGGGCTCCGCCGCATTCTACAGGCGGCTTGTCATGCTGTTGCTCCTACAGCGTAGACGTCTGTCATGCTAAGCGCCTAGGAACAAAACCTCTCCGCTCCGGCTTGCTATGGGCCTGCGGTCCTCGTTAGCAAGACAAATCTGATTTGTGTACGCAAATCCAGCACGAGAAACTTATGAAGAGGGGGGATTTTTCATTCTGATACTTGCCGCCCGGCACGCCAAGGCCAACCACGAACCCGGACACTACTTTGCGCACGGCAGCACCGGGCTATGCCAGAAAAAAACTCTGTGAGTGTAAGTCTGTGATGCAGAAAATGCAAAACTGTATACTCTTGTCATGCTGGATCAGGATCTACTGCGTAGTTAGAGGCTACTTTCCTACGTGTTTCCACCTACTAGCTGCGCATGACAAGTAGTTTTCCCTGTAATGCAAAGCGACTTTGTGATGCTGCTCTTCCTTACAAAGTTACACTTACACACTTCTTTTCCTGGATATGGGCTCGCCCGAAAACGCACCTGCATCGACGATATCAAATGCAAAAATGTCTGGGTCTGGAAGATTCTCAGACTTGTCATGCACGGTTTGCATGAGCCATGATGTCTGTGATGCATGCCATAGTATCACAGGACTTTTGACGAGGGATTCTTGATGCCTATCCCGCATGACAAATGCCCTCTCCGCGCAGCAAAAACTAGAATCCTTTTGCTGCTCATGCAACACAAATTTTTTAGACATCTTCCAAATGCAGCATCACAAGTCGCATTCTTCCAGACCCAGACACTTTTGCATTTGATAGACGAAGTGACGGAGAGTGTCATTTTTTGTAAGAAAAAGAAGCAATAAATAAAAGATATTAAACAGCTGAATACCATAAGGAACAGCCTCGATCTGATTGGAATGAATGACTAAGAACAACCTTAATAACCTTTCTAGTCGTAATATCACGAGAAAAAAGTGTTACAGTTACACATTTGTTGGATGTTCTGCATCACAAATTTTCTCTGTGTGGCAGAGAAAACTTGTAATGCGAAGATCATAAGAGAAAACAGGAAGGCAACGAGGCTCCCAAGCATTGCCTGCATGAGGGACGTTGTCTGTGGTGCCGTTCTTGCAACACAATGTGTAACTGTAACACTTTTTTCTTGCGATACGTAAAGATATTTGAAATACTGTACAACGCGTACAAGTGGTTGTCCTCGACGCCACGCATGTATCCTGAGTAAAAACGTACCCACACCAGAGTCAGGATGGGGATTTTGCAACACAAACCTAGGAGCTTTGTGAGTCACGCATGACAAGTTGCACTCTGCAGTGTAGTGCAGGTTAGCAAGTGCAGCCGCATCACAGATTCATCTGCTCATCCTGTTCACAGCATCACAAATTCCGAATGTCGGTGCGGTTGTTTTAGCATCACAAATTCCGAAACACGATGGGGGTGCGCGTTACAAGTCTTCCTATCTTTGCAAATCTGCATTACAACTCTGGTGTGTGTACGTTTTTACTCAGGATAGCATGTAATTGATGTTTATCAATCAAGTACACATCTTACCTCCTATTTCTGTGTCTGGAAAGTAAATAAGTCCGCAGAAGTTTGATGCCATGGAGATTTTCCATGCCCTACGAGGAAGTCTGGGATGTAGTTGCAGGGTGTAGTTGTACTAGCATCGGTCATAGATTCGCGCGGCCACTACTCAGCGCAGCACGGCAATACCGCGCTCGCCCGAAAACGCACGTGCATCGACGAAGCGATGGAGAGTGTCACTTTTTGTCTTCCTGGTGCTCGCGGGAAGTAGAAAAAGAAGCAATAAAACAGCTGCAGCGCCTCATAACAGCCTCGATCCGATTGGATGGAATGATTTTGACCCTTAACCTTGAATATTTACGCGGAGGAGGCTGTATTGAGGTGTATATTAACGGAGGAGGACGTGGTAGCTATAGTACTTTGCGCGATTCATTCTGAAGCCGCCAGGGCTGACTGAGATGTTGAGTCTCGGCTCGCTTTCTCGTCGTCGTCCCACTTGTTCTTTTATGATTTTACTTCCCGAACATGAGCAAGCTTCTGAGGCTCACCACTAAAAAAGCGGGCGGTGTTCATCTTTCTCCATGCTTCGGTCCCGATTGGTTCTGGTTGAGTAACTACAGGACGGCATTTTGTGTAGGCTGAGATAGCTAGTCTGAATGCAGGGACAGGGGGGGCCTGCCCATCGGCTGCGTCACGGATTCGTCCTGAGCGCTTTGGCCTCGAGATGCGTGACAGGTAAGTCCTCCGCCGCGGCCTTGGCGTGTCGAGAAGTAGTTCAGGATATGGCAGCGCAATTCTGACTGCTCGCACAAGGGCGGCAGTCTCAAACGAGCATGGCCACGGGACCTGGCGCACTATAGCTTCGAAAGAAGTACTCTGTGAGGCGCGGACAGTGTAGGCGCACAGAGCCAATAAAGTCGCCCGCTTTAGTCCGGGCCCGATTGTGTAACGCCCGTCCTTGCCGGGTTCGCGTGATCATTTTTCCTGACATTGCTTTTGAAAAGCTGCAAACTTGCGGAAGCAAAAAGGAGGCGGGCCCCCCCTTGAGGGGGGGGGTTTGGGGGACCCCCCTTCGTGGAGATACTAAGGGGGAGTACCCTTCTGAGGAGGCCCAAAAAGGGGGGGGGGTTTGGGGGTGTTTCTGGGGTACCCTCTGGGGGCTTTTGTTTGCTTCCGGAGACGCAAAATGTTTTTGCTCTTTGTAAAACAACCGGGGCTGAAAAGCGCTGGCCCGAGACCAAAACCCGAAGTCGTGGCGTATCCGCGGCGCCTAACTCATTGGGGCCGTCGCGCTTAGCTTTGAATTGTTTGACAACCGGACGTGGCCACCTGTTTTGCCTACCGGGACAAAGGCCGGCTGTTTGCCACGACCCGCGGCACAGACGGCCTCAGCCTGGCTGCGTAATTCTTTTATCCGACCAGCGCCATTCCATACTGTGTCTGTCCGGCTCCTGCGCCTGCCGTCACAGACCGGACCCGGGACGCAACCGGCGGCAAAGTCCGTCCTGTTCCTGCATGCAGACCAGCAAATTTGACATGGGCATAAAGCCGCAGCGCTCACGCGTGAGATAGTCGCCGCTGAGACGATATCTACTTTTCGCGCTGGGTGATTCGCATGCCCAAAAAAAAAGAAGTTTCGAAGCAAAAAGTTTCTGCCATCGCCATATGTTCATCTTTCTCCATGCTTCGGTCCCGATTGGTTCTGGTTGGGACCACATTTGTCGCCAGCTTCTTGTTTTTAGTACACTTAGGAACTTAGATAGAAGGAACAGTTGTGCGGTAAGTACATGATAGTATGCTAAGTAAAGAGTAGGTAAGTAGCCGAATTAGAAAAAGATTAGATGGGGAGCAGCGACGCAGCGGCCACCGACGCCGCCAGCTATGAACTGCAAATATGTCTGGGTCTAGGAGATTGCGAGACTTGTCATGCTAGTCTGGCATGACTCTGAGCTTTGTATTGCGCGGCCGCAAAGAGCTCCTGCTCTTGCCTGTAATGCAGAAACGCAGGTTCATCTCATGCGGAGTACGCAACTCAGAACCACGGAAATAAAACTTGTCATGTTTAGCAGCGCATCAGAGTGTGCTCACTATTTCCTTTCTTGCATCACAAATCTCCAGACCAAGACCACGTATTTGCATTTGATACCAGCGTGGTGACCACAACGACAGCTGCTAGCAGTCATTATGACAGTGCACAACCCCCCCTCCCCCTCATTTGTATAGCATGAACGGCAATACAAGCATGCATCAGCAAGAGTGCCTGTTTTGCATGACAAATTTCAACTGCATTGTAGTGCTATTTGGGCTATCAGAACTTCTCATGCAAGCAGTGCCAAAAGAAAAAAGGTGGACTGGGTATTTTGCATGACAAATGAGGGGGAGGGGGAATTGTGCACTGTCATAGTCATCATGCCGAGGATACAACACTTCTCGCGGACAAAACTTCTACCAGCGACTATCCCGTGTAAAATAAACGTCCCTACCCCAGAGTTGTCATGCAGATCTGCAAGCACAAGAGCATTTGTAATGCGCATTCGCATGATAGCTAGGCATTTCCGATCATGTTTTGGAACTTGCAATGCTGTAAACAGGATAAAAGGCAGATGGATTTGTAAAAATGCGACTTCCCTCTGCTAAACTGCGCTACAATACAGCCTGCAACTTGATGTCATGCGTGCCTCCCAAATCCTTGCGGCTTTTGTTGCAAGATCCCCATCTTGACTCTGGGGTGATGTGGGCCCCGTTTTTCCTTCGGATAGCGACGCGGCCATGATTACGACCAGTAAACTATTGTGAGGAAAAATCCACCCTCCCCATATTGAAAGGGTATGTTTTCGAAAATTTGTGTTGCTGATTTGAGGTCACAAGTCAGATTTGTCTTGCAAGAAGACAAGGGCAGAAGCTTCCTCCCTATTATGGAAGCGGCTTTTCATGCTGTTGAGCCTAAAGGGGAGCCGTTTGCCATGCTGAACAACTAGACCCATGCGCCCCTACCTAGCCAGGGGATCTGGCCGCAATGTCTCTCTGCAATACATAGCTGATTTGTGTACACAGATCCAGCATCAGAAATTCCGTTTTGATGTGGGGAGGGGGAGTTTTTCCTTTCAATATAAACCGGTGCTGGTCGGTGCCGGCGGAGGCGATGCTGTCCCACCTGCTGCTAGCTCTCCTCATATCAACTGTAAAAATATGTCTGGGTCTGGAAGATTCTGACACTTGTCATTGCATGAGCCATGACGTCTGTGATGCATACCCTAGGAATACAGATTTTTTGAGGGCTTCTTGATGCGTATTCCGCATGACAAATGTCTTCTCAGCGTAGCAAAAATTGCACTTCCGTTGGTACTCGCGCAATACAGATTTTTTTGGAATCCAAATGCAGCATCACAGGCTGCATTCTTCCAGACCCAGACATTTTTACATTTGATACCTCAGCAAGAGCTGCAAAAAATGAAAGCGACAACGACCCCCGCAGGGACGAGTACTAGTAGCTCAACATCTGTTGGTATCACAGGAAAAAAGTGTTACAGTTACACATTTGTTGGAGTTTCTGCATCACAAAGTTGCTCGAAATGGCACAGAAAACCTGTGATGCGCAGACTTTAAGGGAAATAAACACGTACGAAATAAATTTCAAAAAGTTAGCAAGCATTTCCGGCATGACAGAGGTTGTCTGTCTTGCTTGTCTTCCATGAGAGTGTGTAACTGTACCACTTTTTTCTCAGGATAGTTGGAGTGGTCATTTTCGGCGCGCTGGGGATGTTGGGGATCTTATCCTGAGTAAAAACGTCCCCACCTCCCCAGAGTTGTCATGCAAATCTGTATGGTAAAAATGCTTCTCATGCGGAGCCCCATCATGAGAGGCATTTTTTAGTCGTGTTTCGCAATTTGTCATGCTCCAATCCGCATGTTGTGCTGGATCTGTGATGCTGCTGCACTAGCTAAACAGGATCACACTATGAGGCCAAATTTGTCACGCAAAACTCGAAGAAAACTTGGGGATTTGTCTTGCAGACTACTTCCCATCTTGACTATGGAGGTGTGGGGATTGTTTTACATGTGATAGATGTACGTTGCCCGAGTCTTGGAGAAAATGAACGTGAGCTGCAAGAGTATTACAATGAAAAATGCCCCCTCCCCATATCAAAACGGGAATCTGTGATGCAGATTTGGGGTCACAAATCAGCTTTGTGATGCTAGAAGGCAAAAGATGCGGACTGTAGTGCTGTCTAGCGTGGGAAAGCCTTGCAGCTCCAGGATGACAGGAGGCAACTGGAAGTGGGAAACAGCATGACAGATTGCCTGCAATTTAGGCCGCAGCTTCGTCTCTTGGCCTTCTAGCAATACAAGTCGATTTGTGTACTCAAATACAGCATCACAAATTCGCGCATCTTCCGTTTCCGATATGGGGTGGGGGCTTTTTTCACTTTGATAAAGAGCAAGGAGAAGGTCGTGGAACAATATCCAAGGAAAAAACTGTGTTAGTGTAACTTTCTTTGGCTGACAGCATCACAAATTTGCTCTACATGACAGAGAAAACCTGTCATGCGTGCCTTATATTATAAGGGAAAACACACATGAAAAGCGAACTTCATGGTTGTGTGGCATGACAGGTGTAACTCTGTTGCATGTTCTGCATCACAGAGTTACACTTACACAGTTTTTTTCTTGCATAAACAAATGTCTACTGAGACAACTACTCACGAGGCTGTCGAGGCCCCCGTCGAAACCACCACCTACTTGGCTGGGCGCGGAAAATTTGACATCCTGTCTGCCGACTGGGCGGCGCTGGAGCGGTATCTCCGCGAAATCGTCGACCGACACGCGAAAGTGCTTGTCGTCAATTGCGCCGGCGTGACGCCGAAGGATTTTTTGGCTGACAGTGCGCAGGCCGTGCTGGTAAACAGTTGCTTTCCCTTGAAACTCGCGGAGATAGTGAACGCGAAACTCGACGGACGGGCGCAACTGGTCCACATTTCCACCGACATCGCCTCGGTCACGTCGTCTGGCGAGGCGCTCCGCGTGTGCCAGGACGCTTTATCAAATGCAAATATGTCTGGGTCTGGAACCTGTATCGCGTGTTTCGCATTCCTAAAAAATCTGTATTTTTGTAGAAGCAGCAAATAAAGCACCACACTTTCGCACATGCAAAAACGCAGTTTGTAATGCTTCCTGCGCATGAAAGAGCGTTGGAAAAATTTGTCATGCGGCTCTGCACTCCAAGGCACAGTCACTCTTCATGGCCATTCAGCATTACAACTTTCCAGACCCAGACTTTTTTGCAATTCATGCGCTTCGACCCCGAACCATTTTTACCGGCTCACGAAAATCCTCGGGGAACCCGTATCACGAGAAAAAAGTGTTACAGTTACACACTCGGATGGAAGACAAGCAAGACAGACAACCTCTGTCATGCAGGAAATGCTTGCCAGCCTCATTTCATTCGTGTTTTCCCATATAGTCTGCGCATCACAGGTTTTCTCCGTCACACAGAGAAAATTTGTGATGCTGAAATTCCAACAAATGTGTAATTGTAACACTTTTTTCCTGTGATAACCCGGGGGCGCGCAGCACTCCGCGGCCATGATTGTCCGAACCTCGTTCGTACCAAATGCAAACATGTCTGGGTCTGGAAAAATGCAACTTGTGATGCTGAATTTGGATTGGATTCCAAAAAAATCTGTATTGCATGAGCAGCAAAGGGAACGCAATGCTTGCTACGCGAGTAGGGCATTTGTCATGCGGAATAGGCATCAAGAAGCCCTCAAAAAGTCTGTGATGCTAGGGCGTGCATCACAGACGTCATGGCTCATGCAAAATGTGCATGACAAGTCTCAGAATGTTCCAGACCCAGACACTTTATTTGCATTTGATAGTTCGTGGGAGAGGAAGCCTTCAACCGGAAGTATCGCGAGGAAAAATTCCCCCTCCCCATATCGAAACAAGAAAATTTGTGATGCTGGTTTGTGACCACATAAACTCAGCTTTGTCTTGCGTACAAGGCAAACGGCACCCATATGTACAGCGAGCCTGTCATGGGTTTTCCCCTATCCTATTTAGAAACGTCCCCACCCCATAGTTGTAATGCAAATCTGCATGCCGAAAATGTTTCTCATGCGGAGCCCCATGAGAAGCATTTTCCAATCGTGTTTTGCAATTTGTCATGCTCCAATCGGCATGGTATGCTAGATCTGTGATGCTGCTGAGCTAGCTCAAACAGCACTACACTACGAATCCAAATTTGTCATGCAAAACAGCCAAAGCTTGTGGATTTGTCTAGCCGATTCCCCAACTTGACTATGGTGTGGGGACGTTTTTACTCAGGATATCCCCTATGTCAGACTTATTTCTCCTGCTCAGCCGCTAGCCGGATGAGTTGTAGTACCCAAATGGGCTTAGAATATGCCGACAAGCTGCTCCTGCCGCAATACAAAGCTCATTTGTGTACACAAAGAATCTTCCAGCAACACAAATTGTCTTTGGAGTATGGAGTGGGGGCTTTTTTCAATTTGATAGGCAGCACCTCCTGGAGTGGCTGAAGCGGTCGAGTGGCACGGAGATCCAGGGTATGAATTGCAAAAGTGCTGTCTGGGTCTGGAAGAATGCGCGATTTGTCGTGCAGCTTTTCCGTGACCCATGAGGTCTGGAATGCAGGACCTAGCATGACAGATTCTGTGCGATCTCTCTCATGCATATCCTGCATGAGAAACTTCCTCCCGACTTGGTCAAAACTGGACGACTTTCGGTAATCATGCAACACAGATTTTTGCATGCTTCAGACTTAGCATGACAAGTTCCATGATTCTTTCCAGAGGACCCAGACATTTTTGCAATCCATACAGGGCTACCGGGATCAGTTCTGGAGCGGTACAACCTGTTTGAACGTGGTATTCCCAGGAAAAATGCCCCCAACCCCGAATCGTTGGGAGCTGCATTTGTATTGCAAACCTTTCCAAATGAAACATTCTCCCTCTACTTGCATCTATCAGCATCACAGGTTACTTATTTCCCATCGAGAATAGAAAAAATTTGTATTGCAAAAGACCCTAGAGAGAGCGGCGCTTCTCATGCAAGCGATGCGAGGATACACGCCGAGACTCTGCATCAGAAAGATTCATACTCCTTTCATGCATGACAAAAAGTTTTCATTTGGAAACCTCGCATCTTCACAAATTTTTGCAATTTCAGGGGTGGGGGCATTTTTCACTGTAATACGTGGCCCGTTTTGTTCGCGACCTGGCCGTCGGCACGGAACCCTTCCGCCCCGGGGTCTTGCGGCTCGAGTATCCAATGTAAGAATGTCTGGGTCTGGCAGATTGCGAGGTTTGTCATGCACATTTTGCATGACTCCTGATGTCTGTGATGCATGCCCTAGCATCACAGATTTTGTGAGGGCTTCCTGATGCCTATACCGCATGACAAATGCTCTTTCCGTGTAGCGAAACCTGGACTCTCATCTTTGCTGCTCATGCAATACAGATTTTTTTAGAATCCAAAATCAGCATGACAAGTTGGATTCTTCCAGGAGACCCAGACATTTTTACAGTTGAAATCGGGGGCCAGCACACACTGTCCAAGTTCGAAGTCTGCAAGGCCATCAACGAGGCTTTCCATTATCCTCAGTAAAAACGTACCCACACCAGAGTCAAGCTGGGGATCTCGCAACACAAATCGAGGAGTTTTGGGGGTCCAGCATGACAAGTTCGTCTCTGTATTGTAGTGCAGTTTAGCAAGCACAGCCGCAACACAAATCCATCTACTCATCCTGTCGACAGCATTACAAAGCGCAAAACGCGATTGGAAATGCCTCTCATGTGGATGCGCATTACAAATCTTCCTGTAGCTGCAAATCTGCATGACAACACTGGGGTGGGTACATTTTTGCTCAGGATATCCATCTCGGGATAGACATTACGGAGGCCAACGCGCCGTTGCACCAACTCTCCCACCAAACAGAAAAGGAGATGGGGGAAACGAAACCAGGCGTCGAAGTGAAACGCATCGGTATTACAGTGACAAATGCCCCCACCCCCAAAGTTGCAATAATTTGTGATGCGAAGTTCCCAAATAAAAACTTTTTGTGATGCATGAAAGGAGTATGAATCCTTCTGATGCAGAGTCTAGGCTTATATAGTAGCATCGCTTGCATGACAAGCCCCGCTCTTGCTGGGATCTTTTGCAATACAAATGCTTGTCAACATCACGGTTGCAAATCTGTGATGCTGATAGATGCAAGAGGGCGAGCGTTTCATTTGGAAAGGTTTGCAATGCAAATGCGTCGAAGTTCCGGGGTGGGGGCATTTTTCATTGTAATAATCGGCACGGATTCCTTCTTGAAAGATGTGACGGAGATGCGAGAGTTTGTATCAAATGTAAAAATGTCTGGGTCCGGAAGATTCATGCTGTTTTTGCATGACACAGAAGGTCTGGCATGGAAGCTCTAGCATCACAGGTTTCGAGAAGCTTCCGCAATGCCGAACCCGCATGAGAAATCCCCCATTTTGGTGACAGAAAGTGGGCAGCTTTTGCTACCTATGCATGAGAGATTTTTCTGTGTTCGAAAATGCGCATCACAAGTTCGGATCCTTCCAGACCCAGACATTTTTGCATTTGATAGTTTGGCGTCTTCGACAAGGGTATGGATTGCGAAAATGTCTGGGTCTGGAAGATTGCAACTTGTCGTGCTGTTTTTGGATTCCAAAAAAATCTGTATTGCGTGACCAGCAACAGGACTCCAGTTTGTGTTACGCGGAGAGGGCATTTCTCATGCGGAACAGGCATCAGCAAGCCCTCTAACTACAAGCTGTGATGCTAGATCATGCATTACATGCGTCGTGGATCATACGAAAGACGCATCACAAATTCCGGAATCTTCCAGACCCAGACATTTTTACATTTGATAAAGGGCGACTTTACCGTGCGCGACCAGTGCCGTTTTTGCCCGCCGGAAACCAAGCAAACGGTCCGGGATATCCTGAGTAAAAACGGGGCCCACACGACACCAGAGTCAAGATGGGAATAATTCTGCTAGACAAATCACCCAGCTTTGGTTGTTTGGCGTGACAAGTTTGATGTCCTCGTAGTGTAAAAATCCTGTTATTTTAGGTAGGTCAGCAGCATCACAGATCTAGCATAGCGTGCTGATTCTACCATCACAAATTCCACAACACGAATAGCGAATGCTTCTCATGGGGCTCCGCATGGGAAACTTTTTTGGCATGGAGATTTGCATGACAACTCTGGGCGGGTGGCGACGTTTTTACACAGGATACGGGAAGTGTTCCACTTAGCGGACGTCGGCCTGGCCGGCGGTATCAAATGTAAAAGTGTCTGGGTCTGGAAACTTGTGATGCTAGAATGTGGATGATGGAAACACTTCCGAATGCAGCCCAGCATGACAACTTTCCAGAATGCTTTCTCATAGGAGGTCCGCATTAGAAACTGCGTTTTTGCATGACAATAGTGGCTGCGTCCTTTGTTGCTTATGCAATACAGATGTTCCAGTAATTTAAAGCTAGCATTACAGGTTCCGACTTTCCAGACCCAGACATTTTTGCATTTGATAGGCGGGTTTCTCAGCCGGCGGGAAGACGTTTTGTACGAAAAGCTGTACCCCCTTAGCCTGTGCAAAAGAAGTATCGTATTCGTATTGCAGTCATGCATTACAAATCTTTTTTCCGAGGTAAATCCGCATTCCAAATTTTATTTCTCATGCTGCGGAAATAATTTGTAATGCATCTATACAAGTATCGGATGCTTTTGCAGTTCATACCCCTGTATCAAATGTAAAAATGTCTGGGTCTGGAAGAATTGGAACTTGTGATGCTGACTTTGGTCTCTAAAAAAATCTGTATTGCATGACCAGCGACAGGAGTCTAGTTTGTGCTACGCCGGGAGGGCGTTTGTCATGCGGAATAGGCATCAGGAAGCCATCTCAAAATCTGGGATGCTAGGTCATGCATTACAGACATCCTGGGTCATGCAAAACATGCATGACAAGTCTCAGCATCTTCCAGACCCAGACATTTTTACAATCCATACCCCGACCGTGCTGTTTTGCGAGCAGTCCAACACGGCTTGGATCCGCGAAGTGGTTCCGCATATCCTATGTAAAAACGTCCCCACCCCATAGTCAAGACGGAACCACGTCTCTATATGTGGCCACATTATAGTTATTTCCGTACTTCACCTACGTCATTCTCTCCTTTTTAACTTCAACAAAGTTATAAACTTCTCTGTGCTTTAAATCTGGTCTTTTCCAGTACATAAAACACCCCATAGTCAAGATGGGGAATCGGCTAGACAAATCCACAAGGTTTGGCTGTTTTGCATGACAACTTTGGCACCGTAGTGTAGTTCTGTTTGAGGTAGTGAAGCAGCATGACAGATCTCGCATATCATGCTGATTGGAGCATGACAAACTCCAAAACACTACTTAGAATATGCTTCTCATGGGGCTGCGCATGAGAAACATTTTCAGCATGCAGACTTGCATGACAACTCTGGGGTCGTGGGGACGTTTTTAAATACGATACCGCAGGAGAATCTGTTCGTCAGCATCAACGGGGGCGCCGGGTACTTCTACTACTCGTCTACCATTCCCAGCCTGGTCACCCACTTCCGGGTATCAACTGCAATTATCGCTCTGACACGTCTGGACGGATGCAAGGTCGTTTGTCATGCACATCTTGCATGACTTCTGACATCTGTGATGTATGCCCTAGCATCACAGATTTTGCGAGGGCTTCCTGATCCTGATGCCTATATTACCGCATGAGAAACAAATGCCCTCTCGAATATACCGTGGCAAAAACGGGACCTCTTTTGCTATTCCTGCGCGACAGATTTTTGTAGTATGCAAATGCAGCATCACAAGTTACATCCTTCCAGACCAAGAGGGCGACATATTTGCAATGCATACCGGGGCCTCGCGGACGAAATCCAAGCTCGGTTTCCCAACGAGAAAAAACTCCTGGTATGAACTGCAAATATGTCTGGGTCTGGAAGAATGCAAGTTTGTCATGCTTGTCTGGCATGACTATTAAATCTGTCATGCACGCTATCCAAGAGCCCCATTTTTCTGTCATGCAGAAACGCAGGTTGTCATGCACAATAGGCAACACCTAGCAACTCAGAAACTTGTCATGCTGAGCCGTTATTTGTGGCATCCTCATGATTCGCCACTCAGCATCACAAGTTTCCAGACTCAGACATATTTGCATTTGATACCTGGAAATCGGGTGCAACGACGGGGTACTGCTCACCCCGCTGCGAGACGTATCAAATGCAAATACGTCTGGATAACTGGAAGGATGTGAAATTGTGATGCGCATTTCACAACACACACAACACATAGGCAGCAAAAGATGCCCACTTCCTGTCACCAAAGGGGGGCATTTGTCATGCAGATTAGGCATTGCGAAACCTTCTCGAGCCCTGTGATGCTAGGGCTTCCATGCCAGACCTTCTGCGTCATGCAAAAACAGCACGATATCTTCCAGACCAGCCATATTTGCATTTGATAAGACGTGTACGGGTACCACTGCATCGGTGTCGATCCTTCCGCCGCCATTCGTGCCGTGCCGCCTGCACCCCCGCTCGAGACCGGCGGCGACTGCTCTGGGTCGACAAACGGCTCCATCGTGGCCATCGAAGACTTCTTCTGCACACGGGTGTGCAGCGAAATTTTGCAGAAGTACGGACCCCTGGACGTGGTCGTCGGTTGTAACTGCCTCGCCCACATCGACGACATGCAGGAAATTTTCGAAAACATTCACCGCATCCTGAAACCCGGAGGCAAGCTCGTGTTCGAAGTGCACTACGTAGGTCACATCGTCGACGGCATGTATCCTGAGTAAAAACGTACCCACCCCAGAGTTGTCATGCAGATTTGCCATGACAGCGACAGGAACATTTGTGATGCGCAACCCCATGACAGGCATTCTCAATCGTGTTTGGGAACTTGTAATGCTGTAAACAGGATCAGAAGGTCGATTTGTGATGCGGCTTTCCTTGCTAACTTGCACTACCTTACGGACTGAAACTTGTCATGCGTGACTCCTAAAGCTCCTAGGTTTGTGTTGCAAAATCCCCATCCTGACTCTGGTGTGGGTACGGTTTTACTCAGGATAGCATGAACTTCGATTTTATTTACCACGAGCACATGAGCTACTACAGCTTCGGCACGGTGTATCGCACGAAAAAAGTGTTACAGTTGCACATTTGTTGGAGTTTCCGCATCACAAATTTTCTCTGTGTGGCAGAGAAAACTTGTAATGCGAAGATCATAAGGAGAAACAGGAAGGAAACGAGGCTCCCAAGCATTTCCTGCATGAGAAAGGTTGGCTCTATTGCCGGTCTTGCATAGACTATGTGTGTAACTGTAACGCTTTTTTCTTCCCATACGGTGAAGTCCATTTGCCATCGGTACGGTTTTTGGCCGCTGGACATCCAGCAGATCGCCAATCACGGTGGCTCCCTGCGTATCAACTGCAAATGTGTCTGGGTCTGGAAACTTGTGATGCTGGGTGGCGTATTATGATGAGGCCACAAGTGCCGGCTCAGCATGACAAATTTCTGAGCTTCGAGGTTTTCTTGCCTATTCTGAACGACAAACTGCATTTCTGCATGACAGAAAAGCGGAACTCTAGGGTAACGTGTATGACAGATTCAAGAGTGATGCCAGACAAGCATGACAAACATGCATTCTTCCAGACCTAGAGAGAGTTTTTGCACTTGATACTGCGCGTCTTCCTGCAGAAGGAGGAAGTATGAGATGCAAGATGAGCATCGTCTTAGTTGTAGAGATTGCATTACAACCATGCTCAGCATTAGAAATGGAATTTGTAATGCGGATTTATCTTGATAAAAAGAGTTGTCATGCATTTCATATTTACAATTAGTGCGAGTGCGATGCTTTTGCAATTCATAGGAAGTGGCGCAGGCGGATTTGCTCGTCTGGCAGGAAAAAATGAACAAGGCCTTCCATTTATCCTGAGCAAAAACCTCCCCACCCAGTAGTCAAGTTGGTAAATCTGCTACACAAATCGCCAAGCTTTGGGAGTGTGCATGACAAGTTTGTCCTCGTAGTGTGAAGATCCTGTTTAGCTAGTGCAGCAGCATCCCAAATCTAGCCTATCACGCTGGTTCTAGCATCACAAATTCCAGAGAACGACTAGAAAACGCTTCTCATAGGGCTCCGCGTGGGAAACTCTTGTGGCATCATGCAGATTTGCATTACAACTCTGGGATGGGGACGTTTTTGCTGAGGATAGAATGACAGCTTCGCCGCCGACCTGTTGCGGGAGGAGGGCCTGGTATCGCAAGAAAAAACTGTTTCACTGTGAACTTGTGATGCAGAAAATGGATCGCAGAAGTGTGTGTCATGCTACACATGCACGACAATGGATTTCTAGCTGTGTTTTCCCTTAGGACCCCCGCATGACAGATTTTCAGTGTCATGCGTAACAGACTTGTGATGCAGATTTTGCAAAATCACCACAGTGAAACAGTTTTTTCGTGGGATACCTGGGCTCCGAGTTGTATTGTGAGGAATGATCCCCCCTCCCCATATCGAAACGGAAGTTTGTGTTGCTGGATTTGTGTACACAAATCGGCTCTGTCTTGCAGTGAGACACTGCAGGCAAAGCCTAAGCGTGTGTAGGTGTGTTTTGATGTAGGTGCTTAGCATAGCAGAGGCCTGCCATGTAGCCGCATCAGCATTACAAATCGCCTGCTTAGGCCGGCGGATTCTTTGGATTTGCCCTCTTGCAAAAGAGACAGGATTTGTGGTTACAAATCAGCATCACAAATTTTTAGGAACATACCTGTTCAATATGGGGAGGGACGATTTTTCCTTACGATAAGTTGCAGGGCCTGTTCACACGCGTGTGCGAGTGGCGGGACCAGTGCCGCAAGTGGTTCGCGGAGGTGCGGGACCAGCGGGGCATCCTGGTCGGTTACGGGGCCAGCGGAAGGGCAAACACCATCATGGCCATTTTAGGCGAAGGCTTCCATGTGCTCCTGGACGACTCGAAAGCCAAGTGGGGTATCAAATGCAAATGTGTACTCTGGGTCTGGAAGGATGCAAGGTTTGTCATGCACATTTTGCATGACTCCTGATGTCGGTGATGCATGTGTCCCTAGTAGCATCACAGATTTTATGAGGGCTTCCTGATGCCTATACCGCATCAGAGATGTTGCCCTCTCGCCATGACAAGAAAAGGGCCTCTCTCGTATTGCCGTTCATGATGCAACCAATACAGATTTATTGTAGAATCCAAATTCAGCATCACAAGTTGCATTCTTCCGTGGGGCCCAGACATATTTACGATTCATATGGGGCAGTTTTGTGCCATTCTTCCACACGCGCATCGACCCCTCCGACGTTCTCTACGAGAAGGACCCGGGTACTGGGCTACTGTACCAACTGCAAATATGTCTGGGTCTCGAAGATTGCCAGACTTGTCATGCATATTTGGCATGGCCCATGATTGTCTGTGATGTATGCGGTAGCATTACAGATTTTTACCACCCTACTTCCTGATGCCTATTCTGCATGAGAGATCATGCCCTCTCCGTATGTAGACCAAACTGGACTCTCTCCTCTTGCTGGTCATGCAATACAAATTTTTTTCGAATCCGAAGACAGCATCACAAGTTACAACAACTTTTGCATTCCATTTCCAGACCCAGACCACACTTTTGCATTTGATATACTGAAGTACAAAACAATTTTCATCCTGGCGTGGCCATACGCGGGCGCGATCGCTCGGCGACACAAAGAGTACCTGCGACTGGGCGGTCGATTCGTCAAGATTCTTCCAGAAATCAAGGCCATAGACCCCACCGAGATTCTCGGGTAGGAGTGATGAAGGACAAGCTCCTACAAAGCGCAGCAGGAGCTTGCTGCCCTGATCATGATCTACTTGAAAAACCTAATTTAATATGTCAACAACATTTTAAAGAATAGAAATAAATTTCTGAACATCATCCACACAAGGGTCGATCACGATGATCAGGTAAAAACAAGCTATATAAAAGTCGGGTTGATGATGAAGTATAATTAAGTTGTATTTTTTTCCTTCTGCGTATGATATTAGAGCAGTAGATTTTTTTTCATCTGTTTCTTCAGGAAAACTAGGCAGAGGCGGTCTGGTTCAGCGCGTCTGGTTCAGCGCGTCCCTTTTCATGTGGCAGGGCCCTTACAGTTACGCGCCGGAGTGCAAGGGACAATGGTAGGTGGTTTGGAACTCAGGGGGGAAGACGGTTGCGCCCTACGCCTTGGGATTTCTGGTACGAGCGTGTGGCGGTTGTGGCTATTCTTCTAGCATGACAACATCATTTGTGGTCTCAAATCATGCTACACAAATGATCTCCGCTTCAGTATGGGGAGGGGAGATTTTTCCTTTTGATAATGTAGAGGTTGTGTTCAGAATTGTTGC